TTGGTGTTACATCACACGCTGTCTGTGGAGGACATTTCTGTCAGTGAAATGTAAAAACAAGCAGATATCTTAAAAGATTGTTGCTGATAAAACTCTAAAATCAAGAACAGCTAAAGGTGAAGCTCACACTTATGTGTTTCTTGTCTATACTGAATTAGCTAGCTGACCTTTCCTAAGTATTATAAAGTCCAAGTGATTGGAGTGCCAGAGCTAAGATTTTATTTTTCCTTGTAGGGCATCTGAACTCTGTCTGGATGCATTGCTTTGCATTGTATTTCTAAGATCAGGTACTTTTATAGATACACAGCTTCTGTATTGTTGCATAGAGAAAATGAAAATATATATTCTACATCACTCAGAAATGAAATCATAAATAGACAGTAATACATGAAGCTCAGTACAGTTCATCACACTGACTCACTCTAGAACACGGCAGTACTTTTCCCTCTCCATTGTTAATGCTGAAACCAACTTCTTTTGCAGAGTCCCCTCTCTAGAGATTTGCATTTCCCTAAGCCAAAGACAAAGGAGAAAGTTCTGCAAATCCAGTTTGCCAGCTGTTACCTAGTTTTCTTTTAATTTTCTGGGAATATTTTTCTCCCCAGTTTTGCTCAAAGAGTACCAAAAGACACATCCTGTTCTTAATTTCTTCTTTATCAAATATGCTTTTGGAATCTAGTATAAAGAATTAAAACTAAATTATCTAAATTAAATTATTGACCCTTCTGTAAGGAAATAACAGCATTTCAAATGTTTGTCCCAGGGACAAGCTGGAGAAGGTCACTTCAGGGGACTGAATTCTGACTCTGTGTTTTGGACCTCCCTGCAGATCACTGATTTCCAAAAACATTGCAGCCAGCTCAGTTTCCAGGGTCCAAAGCTCTGACTTAGGGTTGTCATAAGGTAAGCATAAAACTTCTGAGGTAAATGAGAAGCTGTGGAGTAATTTGGACTCAGACATTTTTAATGGGCCTCTGCCATTACTTTTGTGAGGAGATGTTCTCTAACATTGAAGTCACAAATACATGCAATATATGCAGAAATAACATTCAAAGATTGTTGCACAGACACAAGATCAAATACTCAGAAGTCAGTAAAAGAGAAAAGATAGTTTTAATCACTGGTATTCACTAAAATCTTGGTGAGCATCCACTGAACATCCTAAGATAATTTTCAGAGCTCTGTTCCCCAGATGAAGGCAACCTCTTTAAACAGGATGACAATCTCCAAACTGTTACTACCGACATTAGGGGAAATTTGCACTGCCTCCTACACATCCATCATTTGGAAGAGCTGAGAACTGCTTGGGCTACATGCTTTGGGAAGAGTGGAGCAAGAGCAATTTACAGGTTCAAAGGTAAATATTTTTCAAAGTGTTTTCTATTTGTGGAAGCCACGTTACAGAAGATATTTGCAACTCTCTTGATCACTGCTGCTCCCGTTTGTAAATATTGTGATATCTTAGGTAAATTTGGTCAGGAAATGATCTTCGTCATTTCTAGTGTCTTCATTTTGTGGGAAAATAACAACAAACCCAGTGAAATCCAGCCAAACAAAGACCCAGATTTTTTTACTAAAGAGGATCCCTTCTTTACCAAACAAACTGTCAAAAATGTTGCCAACTGTTTTCCAGATGTTGATGTATTTTTTTCAGTGGTCTGTGGGCAAAAAAAGAAAAACTTTAAAGCTGTATTTACTTAAACAGCTGATTTTTAATCCCAACTTTCCCATTTTAATGAGAAACAGATTGCAAAGTATTTTGAATAAATATTTTCTTTACGAAGTGGAGCACACAGTGAATTGTTAAGTAAATTTATTGTCTGCATGAACATTTGGGAAACAGCAGCTCCTCTTGAACACCCTTATTTTCATACCTAAAGCAGCTCAGAGTTTTCCACAGGTTATAGGGTATATCCCATGGACTGTGCTGCATGTTCAGGGCTTTACCCAGTACAAGTTGGTAGAGAGATTACAAACAAAAAAAACATATATCTGTATTTGGCAGAGAGGATTTTAGCAATTGAAGTGAATTTATAGAAAATTTCACTTTATAAAAGTCTGTTGTGACATTTTGATTTTTGGTTTTGCTTTTCTTCTGTACAAGTGTGTAAGTTCCCCATGTATAACCAGGATGTGGAATACAGCATGAGTGATTGTTGTTGTCTCTCTGGAGGTGGACTGCTGTTGATGAGAAGGCAGCATATAATCTCACTAGTATGGTAGGAGGAGAAAAGAAAAATGAATGGTAAATATGCACCAAGTCAGGTGCACCCTTGGGAAGACATGTCTGTGCATCAGAGTTATCCCACTGCCTGTTCCTCCAGAGCAAAATGAATACTGGTGGCTCAATGTGGTGATTTCTACTGCATTTTGAATTCATGGTTTCTCTTCTGAGCTCTCTTTACTTATCTAGAAAGCTTTATTTTCCTCTTGGGTACTAATTATTAATTTGTTTCATTGGTTTTATTGAATACAAAATAATATTTGTACTTTAAGTCGGTACAAAATGTTTCACAAGTTTTAGTTAAAAAAAAATAAAAATAAAAATAAAAATTCTTAGTTGCAGCTAGAAAATGTTCACTGCAGCTCACAGAGGGCTTTGGGAAGGTGACTTTAAGCCACAATATAGAAAATTATAATAAGCTATAATACACAACAGACATGGATCATTTTACCCATTTGAGTCTACTTTTTGACTTGGTAAATGGTTTGGGTGAAGTGCCCTCTGCAAAGTCAGCGTTATATAATATATATATATATATATATATATATATATATAATATATATATATAATCCCATGCCTATTGGACATGGACCCAAAGTGAAGCAGTTGTCAGGTTATGGATGCAGACAGCATTAAAGTTGGTGTAAAATGAGGTCTATAGAGTGTGCGAGAGAGCACAGTGGTCTGTTGATTTTTACATTAAATATTGCCTTGAAATGTTGGGAAAAGTGTGTGGTAATTTTGGAAAAGGGTCTCCTGTATTTTGTTAAGAAAACTGCAGCAGCAGGGAATGCTAATTTTATTGAAACACTAACAAAGGCATACCCAGCAAATACTTTATGAATTGATGTGACGTGGCTCTTCTTGGTCCAAAGCCAAGATCACTTCCCTGGGGACCAGGCTAAGCCTGAGGTTGCTGTGGCAGGTAGCATGCAACGAAAAATCTCAACATCCTCATGGCAGCTCTCACTCTGTGGAAACCAAATTGAAGGCCAGGAGAAGTGGAGAATAAATCTTTCCAGGGAAGTAGTGCTGGAGAGGGGAGGAGGCTGCTGGGACTCTGTCTCTTGACCAAGGCAGAACTAGGAACTCTTTGGAAAACTGGAGTCAATAGTTAGATTTATTTTGAACTCCAATAAACCATACTCCCAAGAGAGAAGTGTTTTGAAGCAAAGACCAACCACGTCATTGTCTTCAATGGGAGAAAAGTGAAGCAAAAGCAGTGAGAGACATGAAGCAGTCAGACCAGTGAGCAGCAACTGGTCATTTTCCAAAGCTGATGTATTATTTCCCATTCCTCACTCACCATGCAGTGTCAGGCCATGTTCTGGGCTCTGGCCCTGTTTATAGTTTATGTAACAGCAAAAAGACAAGGTGCCATTACCTTTTAGTTGAAAGGTCATACTGAAGCTATTTTCCACTAATCTTAGGGACTTCAGCCTTAGAAAAGCAAAATAAAATTTAAACATTTGGTCTAAGCAACTCCTCTACCCTGACTTGACATTTTTCACAGAGAAATGAAGTTAAACATTGAGTTATATATTGAACAAATACTGCAGAATTGCTCAAACTGCTTCTCAGTCCCTGATGTCAGTTGTTCTCTGTGTGAATGAGAATGAATTTTTCAAAAATTTAGGAAATGTAGAAAATGATCCTATAAATTTTAGCCTGCTATTAAAAAGAAGCAAATGTCAGGATATATTTTACCACTTCAAATCAGTGCACTGACAACATGTTTATTGTGAAGAATGTGGATAATCCTGTCCCAGCTAGTAAATGCCTTGGATGTATCAGACGTACTGCTGAGCTCCAGGGCTGTCTGAGATTTGGGTGCCTCAGCTAAGCCATAAGAGACTGACCCTGGATAGAAGCTTTGCCTGTCCTAAATACAGGATATTGTCCAGTAGCCTAAGCATTGTAGCAAGAGGCTTTCCCCCACATTTGGGATGGATGAAGGAGCACTCCTTGTTATTTCAGCTTAGCTGAAATGTTGCTTCTTAAGCTGCAGGAACCCAACTGTGTGGCTGAGCCTTAAGTACCTTTTTGTATCTTTGAGTTTAAGCTTATGTGGTTTGCTGAGGCAGGGCTTACGTTTTGAAATTAATGCGAACATTTATGTGTGTGCTTAGTTTCAAGCACTGTGAGTACTCACACTGGACTTGGATTTATCCACTGAGGGGCTGAACTGTAAAGAAGAAACAAATCTAGTAGGATAGTCACCTGTGTAAACGTAAGGCAATTCAGAAATATTTGCAGAATCAGGTCTGCAGGTTAAAGTATATTCTGTAACTATTTTATGGCTTTGACAATGTTATCTGTTCATTTTGTCATACATATATATATATAATATGGAGTTTGAAATACATTTTAAATTTTATTCTCTGTTGATGAGGGAGAAAAATAAAAGAAGTATCTATACAGTGGTAACATGAATATTGACCACAAGGTGAGCAGGACCCTCTTTTTTGTCAGAAGCTTGCTTGTCAGCATGCTGGTGATAGATCAGATGTAAAGAAAATCACTTCTGCAAAACCAATTTGCTAAGGGGCTTGTAAAATCCATTTTTAAAAAGTTACTGAGGCAAAAAAAAGTGAAGGACCAGCCAACCAGACATTTTGATCAGCTCTTCAAGGTCAAAAACTGATTACTAATTCATCAAATATCTTACTGGTAGCACTGTTTGAAGAGCAAACAACTCTGTGCAGATGTTCTACCTAATAACTTTAATACCATGGAAAGATGGGTAGGGTAGGAACAAACAGAATTTTTTACTTACTCTTGGCAATGCTACAATCATAGGAGCTGTGGTCTTCAAAGCACTGGCAGCCCAAGTTCGTGCATTGTCCATTGCCGTTACAGAAAGCAGGACACCGGAGAATGGTGAGGATTTCCTCCTGGGTAGCAGATGTCTGGTTTCTGACATGAAACACTTTACCTCTGTTTCTTAGCACTAGTCTTTCACATTCATTTTCCAAAAGTGCTATCAGTGCCCTCACCCAGGCCATGTCATCCTTGAGCTGCAGATCTAAAACACATATATCAATGGCCTCATCTATTAGCTCTCCAAGGAGAGCCTTACACACCAAGCCAATGGTGGAATTTGCAAGAATTCGGTGGCAAATCTCATGAGCTTTGGCAGAGGTTAGACCGTTGGGAGTAGGCCATCCCAGTGGAAGTTTTGTCCGAATCCCTTCAAAATAATCCTCTGGGAAAAAATAGGCAAAGCTGTCTGAGTCTGTCTGGCTTGGGCTATGCAGTGGGTAAAAGAATGAGTACTCATAGTAGTCTTCTTGCCTTTTTGCTCTCTGTAGTTGTTCTGTTGGCTTGGTAAAGTTAAGGAAACCGTTGTTTTTCATGGAAACATTATGTGCAAGGGCTTTTAATCGCTCCTCGGGGCTACCTCGCTTTTTGACTGATTTAGGCAGATATCTTTGATCAAAAGACTTGGCTGACAGTTTCCCATCATTTCTTAAAGCAGACTCTTTGCCTGAGTGAGTGACAAACTCTGATGTAACATCTAGATACGGGATTGCAGAAGTGTAATCCACATTATCATAATGGCAACCAGGAGATTGAGTCTGAAAGGCATTCGGCGTGTTTACCAAGGACACAGACTTAGTGCTCTCCTTCTGACATCCGCAGTAATTTTTCCTTTGCTTCCCCTCAGAAGGTGCTGGAGTCTTGTCAAATAAACTCTTTCCCGGAGGTATTCTGGTTTAAAAATAGAGGGAGATTAGAGAGAGGAAACTTTCAACAAATTGGTCTACACTGCTAAGTAAACTTTCTTTCCCTCAGGCTGGGGGATGTATAAATTCCCAGTCTAACAATGTACTTAAGAAAATGCTTAAGTTTAATCTCTATTTTCTTTAGTCATTTCTATGCTGCCCTTCTTGAGTTGTCCTGTAGGTTTTTTAGCACTATATTGGGACTTTTTGGTAACAGATGCTTAAGTGCTTTGCTGGAGCGGTGCCTAAGTGTGGGATGTCACTTTGCAGAACTTTTTCTTAGGTGCAGGTTGCCCTTTGCATATTACACACGAAATAAGGCCTTGGATTTGTCCCTGGTGTGACTCAGATACAGCTTGGAGAATTACAAAAAAGATATATCTGTTTCAAATACTTCATTATGAAAATCATCTTTATCCATTTGCCTGGATTTTCTACCAGCTGTTTCCTCTAAGACTTGGATCACACTCTTTTTTTTTTTTTTTTTTTTTTTTTTTTTAGTTTTTCCTTTTTTAAATACATACTTAATTTAATTTTTGGCCTTTAATGGATAATGGAGCTTTCTTGGAGCTTTTCTTTGGACACAAAGCAGTTTTCTAATGATCATGGGGTTAGGCTATCATGTAAGGTATGATGATTTTTTGTCTCCCTTTTCAATTTACTCCAACTTTAATGATAGATGAACTTCAGTTTGAATAAACAGCAATGACTGAAGTTTCCCTGGAAATTTCATGAGCACAAGATCTCTTATTGATCTTATATGTGCAGTGCAAGAGGCCTGGAGTTTCACAGAAAATGATGCCTCTTGTGTCAATAGCTGGCAACTCTTTATTTCCAGACAAATATGAAATACCACCAAAAATTTAAATTATTTTGGCACCAGTTTTGTCTTGCAGCCAGAGGGTTCAGGAAGGTGAAAGCATTTGTCAACATTTCAGAGCCAAACACTACTGTGGAAAGAAGAATTGACTTTATCCAATTTTTCCAATGTGCGGACACAGCAGAATACAGTGTGGTACAACAGGATGCCTTTTGTGCTCACAGAAATGCACAAGCTGTTCCGTGCTCAGCACTGGCTTTCCTTCAGTCTTGGTCAATAAAACATGTTTTGCTGATTGAGGAAGTATTGAAGTGACTTCTTGTCCTTTGGACAACACAGCTTTAATTTCTAGTGGGCATCCTGCACACAGTGTTTATCCAGCCCTGACTGGTGGTGCTACCTGAAACAGAGGTGGCTCAGACTTGCATCACAAATTAAAAATAACACTAAGGCAGCAAAAGTATTTTTTTTTTCTTTAAGGGGACACCAGATAAACTGAAGACTAGGTAAATATTAGATAATAAATAAATAAAAATCATATAAAGTAATCCCAAATTGGGACAGAAACTTAAAACACAAATGAAAATTTCAACAAAATGAAACACTTTTACCTTGGTATTTTATTGAAATGAATTGTTTCACTACTTCTATGTGAATCATTTGGAAACCACTGGAAAACCCTGTTCTACCTCACGGGCATGTACCTTGGTGAGCAAGGAAAGGCCTCCTGTCCTTTGCACAAGATAACCAGATTACCACTCCTCTTGGTTGCCCATTACAACCAAGGAAAAGCTAAAAACAAGTATTTCAGACTGAGTTGACTACTATTACGGAGAGACCAAAAGGAATAGCCATGCTCCTGATTTCTCAATAATTGCAAAAGGTACAGAAAACTTCTTTTAGCTACTTAAAATACATGTTTTAGAATTCATCTCTGCCTTGTCCAGATGCTATTTAAGGACTGGGAGGATCTGATTTTGTTTAAAAGATACATTGGAAACCTGATGTTTTAAACAGATCTGTTTTCAGCTGCTTGAGAGTAGAGGGAGCCAGGGACAGAGCTGAACTGCCAGATGGTGAGCACTCAGACTAGCTTCAGGTGCTGCAGAAAGCATAGCATGCTTTAAGTGTTATTTAAAATGAAATTAAAAGCTGTGGCTGTAAAATCATTCTCCAGGTTGTGTTTTTTGTTGCACCATTTCTCCGTTAGTGGATCAGAGACTGATCCAGTGTCTTCTGGAGGTAACATTAGTCTTTCCATTGGCATTGCTGGTTTTTGAATCAGGCTTCTGAAGAGTGCTTGAGACTCCATCCTTGTGAGTACTTTGAAGTTGAACGTGTCACCCATCTTGCTCTTCTCACACAGCACGAACTTTCCATTCTTTTCCTCAAGTAGCTCCATCATATGTGACAAGTACTAGAAAACTCTTTACTGTTTTATAAGTAAATTCCTGTATGTTCTGCCTTGGCTTCTGATCTTTCAACAAACATGTCTGACCATCTGCTCCCAATGTTCTTGTTAGCCTCTCTTTGGGTAGGCAGAAGTTGGTTGTTGCACCAAACTATTTCTCTAGTTGCCTTCCCAGAAGCAAGTTCTGACTCAACCTCACAATTTTAAGATGTTAGAGAAGGCTGTTGACTTCTAAATAGCACAATTTGTAGCTACAGGTCAAAATTGCCATTAGATAGCCATTATGTAGGCTGGTTGAATATAACTAGAATATGGGAGAAGTGTTTGTTTATCTTCTAAAATGCACTAGGTCTAAAAAGTATTGCATTTATTGTGTACTAAGCTTCCATGTACAGATTAGGTGATAAATTAAGCTGCGTGTTGACCCATCTAACTGTGGTTTGGGCTTGATCCAGCTGTGCTAAACTTTCATGCACTTGCTCTTCACACATTAAAGAAGAAAATATCATGGCATGAGCTGATCTTGAGAAATCTGCACAGCAGTGTTCACCTTATTTTCTCCCTATCTGTAAGACATAATTCACAAGCAAACCTACACAGTAAAAACAGCCCAGTTCACTTTTGGGAATGCCTTTTAGGTATGTTTAGAGAACATAGAATTAAAATGTGAGCTGCTGCTAGGGACAGGGACAGGGACAGGGACAGGGACAGGGACAGAGACAGGGACAGGGACAGGGACAGGGACAGGGACAGGGACATGTCAGAGTGCCAGGCTCCTGGCTTTAGTTCCAGACCATGGAGTTTTTTTTTGAGCTCACCATCATCATTAACAGAGTAGATATTAACTTTTAGCATGGTACATATATTACCACACTTTGTCAAAATGTAACATTTAATCTATACTCACATATTGCAATTAGTGTTCAGGAATAAAAGAACAAGGGAAATACCAAACCCTTAATTAATCTCTATTGTCAGTTATCTACATTTTCCAGTGCGGGTGAGAACTGCATCTTTTTTTAACAGCTGAGTGGGATCTTAACACAGCTGTTAAGTTGACATCACTTGTGAATATAAACTTCTCCTCAGTAACTGCTTATGTGCATTGTGCTGACTGAAAAATAAGCCACCATGCTGCTTGGATGGTAATGGGCCTCCAGGCTTCCTTTGCTTGATGAAGCAGATCTCTCTGCCAGGTCATTAGGGGAGTACATAATGAAATTAACGTATCAACATCCCTGGATTTAGTGCTAGAGAAACATCTCCCAGTCTGGGATCCTCTCTCACTTTGTACCTCCACTCTTCTACGAAGTCTTCCTCGGGCGCATTGTTCAAGTCGTTATGACTGATCCCATCAAAGAGGCCACACAAACCCCTGGTGCTGTTGAAGTCACTGCTCGGCGTCCTTACCGTCAAGCCCATTCCCCACTCGCTCACATCAGCTCGAACAAATGCTCCTGAAGGGAACAAGATCTGAAGAGGCAGAAAAAAAATCAGTGAATTGAAGCCATTATAAGGCTTTTTATGCAATAAAAAATGTCCCTTTTTATAAACAAAGATATCAAGGTAAGACATTGGCAATGTCAGTGGTAATTTAAGATCACTTAGATGCACCATAAATATTTATATATGCTATTATTTAGCTTGCTTTCAAATTTTACGGTGCTACTGTCTGACAATGTTACATAAATATAAAACTGCACGAGTACTTTCTTTTTAAATTAATAATTACATTCATTGAAGTTTTCCCACTGGTAAGTTACCAGCTAATTTTTGAAGCAACTTCCATGACAATAAGACTACCCTTGTGTCTTTGCCTGGGAAATCATTTCTTTTAGATAAACTGCCAAGTCTGAAAAACAGCTTTCTTCCCTCTGAAAAATCGTTTCATTTTCCAAGGCTGGATTACCCGGAAAATGATTGTGTTTTAAAGTGGATAAAGCAATTTTCTCATTAAAGTACTTCTGGTAGGCTTACACTGACCTTTAAAAGAAAAAAAATCTTGAGGGTAAGACAAAGAACTAGCTGTGTGGATAATGGATTTTTCAGATTGGTGGTCCAACCAAAAAAAAAAAAAAAAAAAAAAAAGAATAAATCTGTTCAACTGAAATGTATTTTTGTTTGTTTGTTTTATTTTTCTAGGTAAAAAGAAAATGATTGTGAAACTGATCCGTGCCAAGAGTGGGAGCGAGAGCACTCTATCCTGATAAGTAATCTTACTATTTTGTTTGATCCAAAATTAAACGTTTTCTGATATTTTTAAAAAGTACATTAAATAGTTGGAAACTTCTCATTACAGTAATTTCAAAATAATTATCTTACTTTTTTTAAGTCACCCCTGGCTGAGAATAATTGATTCAACCTACTAATGCCCATTGCTTTCTTTCTCATTGTTTTTTAGGTCCCTTATAATCTCTTCCAAACCAAATCTATTCATGCTTGTGAGAAGTGTTTAACTTAAATTTGTATTTCTGTTTTGGAATCCAACCTTTGTATTTTGCAATAAATAACACTCTTCTCCATTTTAGCTTCACAGTCCTCATTTCAACAAGGAGAATACTTTTTGTGTAAGCCTGTGCATGCCCTCCTGGTCCAGTTGAGACAAGCAGCAGAGTTCTGCTGACAAAAAGAGCTGCGGACACTGTACAGTCAACACAAGCCCTCTGTGTTTTGACTGGGGCAATCAAAGCATGCTTTAAAAAAAAAAAAAAAAAAAAAAAAAAAAAAAAAAGCATTAGCTTTGGTGAATAATGAAAATCATCAGGTAAAACCAGCTCTCAGAGTACATCAGAAGGTCTTGGTTGTACCTCCACCTTGGCTATAAGTTTCATTTATAAGTAACATTTTTTTTTATTTTTTTAAGGGGATGAGGAGAAAACTCCAATGACTTGATGATTTGATTACTTTTATTTATTTATTTATTGTGGTTGTTTAATAAATAGATCAGGAGGACTGCAGTTGCCATAGTGGTGGGTAGCATTTGGTTTCCTCCTTCAGATAAACATGTGCCTTCTAATTAAATGCTTTACTACCAGGAGGAGCATCTCCCACAAGGCTGTCTATAAAATCCTTGCTGTCAGGACTGAATGAGCTGTTTCAGCCTTCTGTACTGCATGGATGGATATTTCCAGGTGTGGATTTCTTTTCAGAGGGCTGTAACCCTTCCTTTCCTGCTGCTCCTGGGCAAGGCAAGCCATCTGCCACAAAGGACCTACCATCAGCCCAGGTTTTCCTAAATCACGTGGATGTAACATTGCTGACTGGGACTGTGAAGAAGATTTTTTTGAGACCTAAGCTTAGAGCGATAGGTAGTGACAGGCTGCTGAAAGCTGCTACAGAAAGGTGTAACAGCCTCATTCCAAGCAGCAGCCTTGAATGATGCAGGAGAACCAGCTCCTATCCTGTGCAAGGCTGATGAAGGACAAATGCTGAGCAAATTGAGGTGCACTGCTCACAGTGGTGCCATCAGGGACCATATTCATTGCCTACAATTCCTACAGATTCCCATTCAGATCAGGTAAGGATTCTTATTCACGGCCTGGAGGTGTCCTATTTTATTTTAAACACAAAGGAAATCAGTGAAATTTACACAAGGTGTAAATGAGGATAGGGATTCCTTGCTACAATTATGCTAGTAATAAAACAGTAATTATATTGCATTCAGTTGCAAAATGAAATGACAGCTTGCTTCCTGCTTTTTCTCTATTCTATAATTAACAGATTTTCAATTACTACCTCATCAAGATCTTTTCCAAGTGAGATCACAAGGACAGCCAAACACAGGCACTCCCTGGCATTGTTCTGGCTCTGCTGTGGACCTATCTTCACCCAAAATGTCTCCTGGCAATAAATCTCGATGACAAAAGTTTAGGATAATATTATCTTCTTGGACGTAATTTGTGCCTCTTCTTCTCTCCAACCCCACTGGTGCAGCCTGCTCTTATTCTTCCAGTGATTTCACTGGATTAGTGTGGATAAATGATATCTATGCAAAATTTGTAATGGCCATATAATTTTTTAGGCAAATACTTTAAATTACAGCAAATGTTGCACATTTGGAGCCCATTTCCATGGCTTCTGGGGGCTATCTGTATCTGGCTAACATTGTCTTTTTCTTACACTGTAAAACTACATTATTCTGCTATCTGTGATCTTTCTTTGAATATTTATATCAGAAAGATCTGCAAAGAAATTTGCTTTATGTGATGTGGTTAGGTAGTACCCAGCACAAGTGAGCTGAGAGTGGCTCGCCAATAAGTAAGCAACAATATTGGCACTTGGATATGTCTCTAAGAAATTTCCAGAGATATTTGTTTTGTTTTCTCTCGCAGTTGGTTAAACCAACACTTCAACCCGCTTCTTCCCTGCATCTCATTTTTTCTGGTACATTTTGCTGCAGGCACTTCTCATGCCTTCAGATAGATACTTTTGCAGCAACTTCATTAATAATTCAGAAATATTAAACTGGCATTTTTAAGAACAGCAACAAGAGTACTCAAACATCCACGTACTGTGATTTTTCTCCCTCCGTAGGCCTTTAGGATTTTGACCTGTGGCGATGCCCCAGTGCTGCGGATGGCGAGCTGTGGCCTAGTTTCCTGAGAATGGCCATTGCAGGAGTCCAGCATGACGACGTCGTCCCCCTCTCGCGCAGCCACCCCACAGTTGCAGGCCATGGCGGAGCGGAGGCCTCCACAGTCCCACTGCCGAACGTGCACTTCGAACGCCCGCGATGTGCTCTGGCACAAAAGGAAGGTGCCGATTTTGTAATTATCGTAACGCCTAAATGATGACAAACAAAACCAGGATTTAGAGACCCAATGCATCCACCCAGAATGACTGTCTGTGCCCCTCCGGCATCGTGGCTGGCTTGGAAGAAGGGGAAGATCCAGGTGCGGGGAAGCATTTCTCCAGCACCATAAGCAAGCTGTAGCTGTCACCATTATTAGCTGGGAGTGCAAAAGAATTCATGTGAAAACCTGGTCGCTGTCTGCGAGCTGCTGCTATGGCAACGGGCATGGATAAAAAGGATAAACATTTGATAAAAGCAAACGGGAAGAAGTCCCTGCCTCCAGGCCTTAATAAATATGTTTTGGTTCTAACTGGATGCTTTACAGCATGATATTCTTCAAAGCAAAATCAGTGCTCAGATAACCTCTTCTGTGACTAATCACCAACTTTTACAAGTCTGACTGTGGCTAGGCAAATATTTCATGTGAAAAACTGGGCTTCTACTGAAAACCCATTAAAACAAAGTTGGTTCCTCCCCAACAACTTCATAGTAAGCATAACTTCTGCTCTAAATGGATCGTCAATCAGAACACTGCTGTGTGTGGAACAATTTGGAACTCCCATTCTTCTCTGTACAAAAAATCCTTGCTCCATATGAGGCCATGGGCAAAATAATTTTGGATGTGTTTCCCCTGGCCAAGGCCAGATCCAAATCCTCATGACCACAGAAAGCGCTAGTAGGTTTTCCAAACTAGGGACCTGCAAAATCCTCCTCCTCTACTTGTTCAGGTCTTTCTCCTCATACCAGAGCAGATTTAATTTTATTTATTTATTTATTTATTTATACTCTAGTTTATTTCCTGATGTATAAAGTTAAAGAAAGCAGTAGCTGCATATTTTATATATGTTGCTGGAGATTTCTGCATACAAGCCAGCAGCTAACATCTTTAAAAGCAGCGGATTCTTCTTCCTTTACAGGCACTGCATTTATTTTTAAACATGATTTTTAGGAAATTAAGCATAATGGAAACTAAGCCATAAGCTTATAATAATAAGCATTATTGTTTTCTACAGTAAAAAGGAAAATGCAAAAAGGAACATACAAAAAAATAAAATCAACCACTAAACTAAGTAACAGGATTATTTTTAAGCAGTGTCATAAAAACATCGATGTTTTTGCAGTCTGTTAATGTGTTCTATACAGATGAGAAAATAATTTGTTTCATTTTGGCTCAAGAACAAAGAAATTTTAATATGTATATATCTGCATTTTATTTCTCTACAGAATAAAATCCATAGAAAAATATGTAGCTTAAAACACAGCAAGAATTTAAACTCCAACTGCTTTTCTCTGCAAGAAACCACATTTGACATTATACTTCATCTTAAAAAAACTTAGTGAAGTTGGCCATAAAACGATATGATTTTGAATGCTTTTGTCTCATCTTATTTTCTAATCAGGTACATAAATCCTAAGTGTGCTGTGCAGATGCTGCTGCTCAGACTGATTAGAACTAAGGACAACAGAAAAAAAAAAAAGTTGGTCTCTTAACTAACTCTGTTTGGACCTTTACACAGGGAAGACTGAGGAGCCAGGAAATTTAATGAGTCACCTTCCACAGTTCCCTTCAAGAGACCTTTCAACAGGAAGAGCCTAGCAGGAAAGGTTTTTAGAGAGGCTGATGGAACATAATGCCTCAAAATGGCTGTATCCAGACTAATCAGGTGTGTCTGGTAAATAAGACTGTATTAGCATGCACATATAAATATCATTCCAGCAATGGGAGTTTAATAAGCACTGCTTAATAAGCGTTGACAGTGGACTGAATCCAGCTCTCTTGGAAGTCACTTAGCGTCCTTCAATTAAGTCATGACATAGATTGCATGGCATATAACAAACAGTAACGTGTCTAAATTGAAGCTTTCAGCTGCCTTTGAATTACACGAATGGGTAATTGAATGTAATCAGGTAAATTTTTGTGATGTTTATACAACTGTAATTGTGATAATGATTCTTTGGACAACATTTGAGAAATCAGATTGCAGCCTTGTGAAACTAAAAGCACAAAGGAATGTTACTGGGGCTCTTGCAAGAGGGAGCTCTGCATATTGTTTGTGAACAGAAACTACAAACTGTGTCAGAATTGCTCTCCATTGTAAATTACCCCATTCTGCTTCCCTGTCTATGGCAATGAGTGTAGTGGATGTAAAGTATGTACTCTCCCCATGTATGTATTTGGGTTGTTTTTCAAGGACTGCATCAAATTCTTGTCCCAGCATGAAGTCATAGCTCAAGTTGTGCTCTAAATGTGAGAATTATAAAATGCTCATAAGTCTTTTGATACGACAATAAGATGCTATAGGAATCATTTCTCTTGGTTCACAATAAATGAGGGACAGAAGGAAATAGAAAAATCCTCACTTCCAGTAACGTTAAAATAACTAATGCAATGTGTTTAATATTCACCAAGCTACCTTTTTATTAATTTTTATTATTCACTAATTATTGTGACTGTTCCTACAGTTCTTCTATCACAGTTATGTCACCAAATCATTTATTTTTCTTGTGTTCCTCTGAGCTCCCTCCTTCCTTATGAGTAAAAACTCTTTTATACTAGTTGTGACCCTAGGAAGAAGCGGGTGATGCTGAAGGATGTCCTCTGGTTTCAGAGTACTCATTACTAAGGAGCAGCTCTGTTATTCTCAAAGAGTAGAGCTGCTGGGTTATGTTCAGCAGACAGTGTATGCTTGGGGATGTGTAAATTTCTACAGACTATCAAGAAAGAACAGCCCTCTGGGAGGGCTGCTCATGCCCAGGACTTAGTTGTGGGCTGCCGTGATGAATGCCATTAAAACCAACCACAAGCATGAAGTTTTGCAAGCTGGGGATTTTGTCACTCTGCAGGAAATAGTGCCATTCCCCCTGCAATAATATTGATGGATGGATTGAAGTAAATTTTTGAGAAAGCTCAAAAAAAAAAAAAAGTAAAATTGAAAATAACGTGAATGATATATATAGTTCACCAATCAAGAAGTATTTCCCTTTTTATATTTTACCTTAAAAGGATATTCTCCACATTTAGTTTTAAGCTAATACTTCATGTTTAAGAACCTACAATTTATGTCATGAAAAGCTTTTATATTTAAAATGTGCCATAACTAATAATGAGGGGTATACTTTTGCTTTACCAGGCTTTCACATTTGTTTAATTTAGAAGCTACTTTGCTATAAAAGGAAGAGCTCTCTCTGGATTATAGCTAGTATAATTAATGCCGTTTTACATCGATGCAACAATATACATAAATTGATTGTGCTTACGCTGTAAAATACAACACATTCTTCTTTGATTTTCAGTCACTTCTTTTGGTCAAAAGACTAGAATGATTACAAGATAAATATTTCTACAGAAACATTAGCCAGAGGCATAGCAAAGGGGAGTGCTATCATTAGAAGTGTGTTAGGTATTTCAGTTATATAAAGAACAATGAGCTACCTCAGACATAATGGGAGTTCACTATGTCAAATTAAACAAACAAACAAATTAATTAATTAATAAAAACACATTGAAATTGAAAATATATCTATAGAAGTTACAAAAGGAAGTATTATTGTGAAATCTCACAAAATAACTTACAATTTAGAAGTGACCATAGGAAAATTTTGCTGCCAAAAAGCACATCAATATCTTCTGGTCTTTTGTTTTTCATACCATTTTTCATTTTTTTCCACTTTAAAGCTGCTAAATAAACTATTTATATATTTTTTTTAAGTTAAGCTTTACTTAACTTAAAAAGTTAAACTAAATTTTAATTAGCATTGTTTTTCATTTAAGTTTTCTATTTTTGTGTCTGCTTTTATGCTTGTTTGTCTCCATTGTGTATTTTTTCTTCTTTTCACCATTTTTAGTAGGAAAGTGAAAAAAGGTAAGCAAATCTAAGAAAGGTAGGAGTGTGTTTACGTGCATGCCTATTTGCATAGAAAACACTCCTACTGTTTTGCTCTTGGCAATGCTCCCCATCTTCAGACTTTCTTTTGCTTTCCTTGTGACAGTTCTTTATACAGCCATCCGCAGGACTCCACGGAGAGAGGATGGAAAATGCACCACAGGGACAATTGACTACTACCTGTCCACGGCAGCTCTGCCTACAACATTTTGACCTTAGAGTCTGCTGTATCCTGGTAAGCTGACCTACAGGATTCTAGATAAAGTGGTGGAACAAATTGATTTCTTTGAGTTATATTGCTTAATGGATGCTCTTCTGTTGATCTCAGAGGTAGTTTTGGTAGTTTCTTTATTAAGCTTTGTTTGCTGCCATCTTTGTAGCCATGCAGAGATGAGAAAAGGGTGTTTTCAATGTTTCCTCTCTCCCCTGTGTACTGTTCTTACCTGACCTGTGTCTACTGATCACTTAGAGGTGATATAGCTCCTGATGCTGAAAAGCATCCATTCATCCTATTTACCTATTGCTTCCTAGTCCCTAGGAGAAGTTTCTTTCTCTCTCTCTTTCTCTTTTTTTTTTTCTTTTTTTTTTTTAATTATTATTTTATTTTATTTTGTCTTTGTTCAACGGTTGACAATCTGCAGATGGGTCTGAAACATTTTTTTTTTTTTTTTTAATTTTTATTGCAGAACTCCCGTATGGCATCTTGTGTCCACAGTTTGTGCAATTATTCCATATTCACAGTACCAAATGCACCCCACATTTCAAATACAGTTTCCCACCACATACCCTTTCATGAAACAGGGAAGTGCTTCTATTCCATAACTCTCTGTCTACATCTGTGTCTACCTTTATCTATAGGCTGTAGGTTTGTATCAATAGACACACAGGACCTGCATTCCCCACTCCTTATATGCAGAGCTTTAAAATCATTTGATAATATGTTAAAGTTTTTTTGGATAGGCAGACAGAGAAGTTGCCTAACTGACATCTAATAGTGTAGCATAATCATTACAATAATTGAAAGAGAAATTATTTACAATAATAAATGGGAATATAAGTAGGAGTAATGGGACTGTGAAATGATGGGTAAGAAACTTGGCTGAATATCAAATGATATATCTTAGTGAAATAACCTGGTTATTGAGATGGCAAAAGCCCCATCACTTGGCTCATTTAAAGCTATACTGGACAGAGCAGTAATGAATGCCCACAGCAAAGAAACGTGAGGTTATCAAGGGGCAAGGTATTCCTGGGACTTTTCTGTTTCAGAGTTGTGTGACTCAGAGGCATGGTGCCACAGAAGGACAGGCATTTCCAAACTGCTTGTGTTTAAATGGAATTGTAAATTGCTTAGAATTAGAAGTATTTCCATGTGCTGTAAGTAACAGAGCTCCAAAATGAGTTACTGAAATAAAATTTCTCTGTTTTATTTTAGACCTTTTTCCCATGGAAGCTATGTAAAATTGTTCTACATGGCTGATAGTATTCCCCCATTCCAAAAAGCCATTTTCAGTAATTTATGACTTCCTAAATACAACAAGCTGTCAGGTCCCTGTCCAGCCTTGGCCCTAAATCAGAACAGAATATTTTAAAACATAAATGTACAAAGAGTTTTTAAATAATATTCTGATCTCATGTAATATACAGAGTTGAAATAATGGTGAATACCAAGAGGCACATAAATGTCCGTGTACCACTTGTTCTTCCCCATTTTCTTTATACTGAGAAGCCAAACTTGCACGAAATAAGCGCTTGAACGCATTGGAGATGGCATACAGCAAAAGGAGGAGGGAAACTAGAAAGTCCCAGGTGTGCAGAGCTAAACTCCTAGCTCAGACTACCCAGTTTATGCAACATCTTTATTTGAGGCAGATGTGTAGCTTTTAACAGAGCCACTGCCTTTCTCACTTATTTCATCGAGAGATTTCTGCAGTTTTGACGTCATTTCAGAGTTCATGTTCTGACAAATATATGCTTCTGCCTCCAGAGCATGCTGGATTGAAATTGGGACATTAGGATATCGAAATTAGAATATCACGCCTGCCGAGCCCCTGTGGACGCTATGCTCATAAAGTCATTATCTGTGCCATTAGGAGGTTAACGGCGGAATGACAAAACTGGAATGTGATCTGAAATATTAGTAACTTTACTTCAAACATGTCAAATGTAAACTTTAAACACTGTCTGTTGTGTTTCATAGCTAGGGTAGAGTGCAGGTTTTCAAACATAAAGATACCATGTTTGGATCACTAAGTTTTTAAGCAACTTATGTAGGAGGACATCTGGACACTAGAGGAGGATGAACAACTTCAGTTTTGCAATATTTTTGCATACTTTCCCTTACATTTGCCACTCATAATTTCTGGACTTCTTTTGCCTGAGACAGCAGAACCATTTTTATCATGTTTAGGTTGTGATTATGACTGTCAGCTCCATTCAGATATATAGCCATGAGTAAACCAGATCTGGAAGTAGATAGGAGAATGCAAGAGCATATTTGGGCTGAATGAATTTGTGTCAGGTATTACTAAATTGTCAGGAACAACACGGGCTATTTGCACAAGATGTGCTTCCACAGGGACAAGACGGCTCACCTGGGTGGAACTGGGGTGTCTCTAACACCACGCCACATGACATAGAAACCCTCTCAAAGTCATTAACGATGGTTTTGTTTGAAGAAAATTTTGGAGTTTGACCTTGAGCTTGTAAAAATAATTCCCTCTCAAAACCATTGCAGGTTCAAAATCAATTCTTTTCCCATCCTTTTGTTAAAATGAATATAAACAGCTGGAAGGAAAACATGTATGTTACTGAGGCACTACATTAATCATTATAAGCAAACTAGTACAATGCTTTTTTGGTATTCTAATGTAAAGCCAAATGCATGCTATATCCAGAAACTGAAAACTGCAGTAATCGAGCCAAATTATTTCAAAGTAGAATACTCACCATCCATCAAATGTGATAATGTGTGGATCAGTGAAAGAGTAGCAGTTCCCTGTTGGGAGGTCTCGAACTGTGACCTAGTTAAAATGAAATGCGTAATGAATACAGTCTACACAGCAGTTTTTCTTCATTACCGCTCCTCACAAAACATTAGGGGCAGGATTCATGTGTCAAGTACAAACTAAAATCTGACTTCTAAAACATAATTGTGGATGGGTACAAAATAGGCTTTGCTTTCAAACAACTGAGTTTAATCCCATGCAATATGGGAGTTCAAAGTGCTTCTATTCTACCAGATGTAATGCACTGTCTAGCTGGTAAAAAGCAAACCTTTTGTATTAAACTTCTTTGCTAAGAAGTAGATCATTCACTGAAATTATCAAGAGAGTAGAGTGCTCATTAAATTGTACTAATTTTAATGCCTTAAGGATTGTATAAGGTATGCTGTAATTAAGTAGCATTAGCATATTTTAGCAGTAGTCACTGTCTGTCCCCTAGCTTGACCTTAAATTTCCTGATACAGCATGTGACTGTCTGATTTGTAAATTTTATGTGAACATTATCAATTGGGTACTGGTGACAAGGACACAAATTAAGCTGGTGGAGCTGTCTGCTTTTGGCACATGAATGAAAGAGGAAAGGATTTACTAGAGCAACAAGGATCATCAGCTTTGGCTCTTGGTTACTTGGAAATAAACCAGGTCACAGACAAGGTCTAAGACTTCGGTGACCTGCAAGGAGCGGATATACCTGTGAAAGCCAGAAGTCATGAAACCCCCTTGGAAGTTGCAAGAACTGAATCTCAGGCCCTGCTGGGCCTGTACTTCCTCTGCCTCTCAAGATAGCTCCTTGTCATGGCTGTGTACTCTGCTATCCAACCCTCAGAAATGCAAGACTGGGGTGTGCAGCGATTTGCAATACAAAGGGCTCCCAGTCACACTGGTGGGCATGATGAAGTATTATGATTTTCCCATATCCAGCCTGCAGGGCTGATTTCTTGGCCAGGGCTGTTAATTCCTTGCGTGCTTTTTGCCCATGAGAAATCCAAAGGTGCAATTCAGTTAGTTCTGCCACCATCTGCAGAGCAGGGAAGAAGAATGACCACTATATCCTTGTGCAGTCTTTCAGCGACAAAGCAGAATTTAGCTTTTAGGAACAGTGGAGAAATTAAATAAATGAATAAGAGGGTGAAGATAAAACCACAGTACTTGATAAAATTCCTCACCCGAGGCAATACATCATCTGTATTTCAAAATGTCCCTCAACCATCACACAGAGACATTGCTTAGACACCCACAGGTGTCTGGCATCCCAGACTATTAAAGTGATTGTCTGGAGGAATGAAGAACTTAACACCTCTTTGAACAGCTTTTTGATCTGAGGTCAATTGTATCATTTGTGTTTACCAGAGTGATGTAAAGAAGTATCTCTGAATTTTCCCATTTTCTCCATGGCCACAACCTTTTCTGCTCTGCTGTTTTCTTGCATGGTGCTGGCAAAGGATGCAAGTCTCAGTTATAGGCAGCCCTAGTGTACTGAAGAAATCAATTTTTTCAGGTGTCTGAATTTGTCAGAATGTTCTGCCCACCATTTCTGTTCAATTTTCAGATAAATCAAAAATATTTGAGCAAGTCTGAAGAACTATAGACTATGCGGATTTTAATGTATGGATTTCTCCTTGATATGTTGCAGGAGCAGTTTTACATTAATGCCTCTAATTAACTGCAAAGCAGCAATGGGGAAATGGGGGGAATAGAAGGTAATGTCTATTATGTTTTCATAGATCAAGTTTTAACTGAGATAGATTGAATTTATTATTAAAATTGATTAATTCCATTTCACATTTGATACATTTTCATATTTTAATGGAAGCATTCATAGCTTCCAAGAAAAAAATATGAATATGTGTGTGCACTACATTGAATTATCTGCAATTTCTGATTTAAGAATCTTAAAAAGTGTAAGGGAAGCCTGTGCTGGAGAAGGAAGGAAATAAACACATGCTAGACATTTTGCATTTGAAGGCAAAAATTCTTTTGGTCCAATTTAATCTTATCCTACCATGAGTAAATCCACCAGAATCAGGACAGTGAACTTACAGATTTAGCCGGGAGCTTGTTTTCAGTTACTTTAAATGCTCCAGCTTGGATGTTCCAACTGCTCTGAGAGTTTTAGCTGAGTCAAATCTGTCTTCTTGCTTATTCCCCCAGGTGGTGGGATTTTGGCTTTCAGACCTCCCAGCTGAAGCTCTGAACCAGCTCCACAGCCAGCAGGCCAGCTCCTGCTCACCACGCTGCCTTGGCCAGGCTTCCTGCAGGGACAGTGTGGCTAGCCTCCCTGATTGATTCCCATTATCTTTACTTTGGATGCTCTGTACTACGATAAATGAAGAGACAGAGCATCTGTGTTGTCAGAGGCGTCCTAGAGATTCCTGGAACAGTCACATATTGAACACGGTGATGCTGAACCCTCCTTTTTCATTAGCAAGGTACAGCCTTTCCTCTGCTTTTCTCCAAACCGCTGGCTGGTTACACGTATAATCCATCTGTTGGCCTTACCGATGGACTAACTGAGAATGAAACTTAAATCTGTTAAAGCAAAAAGCTTCACTTAGTTTTCAGAGAGGCTGTTTTAGGTTACTGTGCGAACAGTGGTCCACAGGTTTCTATAAGATTAAGGTTTATCATTGCCTCATTTTCTCTGATGCTATACCTCCCATTTTAAATTGTCACATTTTCCATTTTAGGACCTAACCTTCACATCCTTTGGTGTGTGAGCCCTCCAAAGTGAATCTCTCCATCCGACTGGCTCAGCTCTGATGCGGCTGATGCGGTTCCCATCCTGAGCAAAGTCTGTCACGGCTGTCACCATCAGCGTGGCTGCTGCACAGCTGCCCTCTGAGCAGGGCATTGGCACCAGGTCCACCTGGCACGCTGAAAGGGCGATGTCTGGCAGCCCTGGTAATTGCCTGTCTAAAATGAACAGGAACACTGAGTCTAACAGGAAATATCCAAACAGTTATCAATCCCATCCAACACAAATACTTTACATTCCAGGACACACACCTGTTGAATTCAGAGAGGTTTTGCATGAAGATGGTTGCAACTGACTCAGTCTGCCATCCTTTAGCACATATTTTTTTTTTCCCCTACAGTAGACAACTTACTGAAACTCATTGGTGCTTTTCTGTCCATGGGTGCTAATATTTCTGGAATGACAGTCTTATCTTTATGGGTCCGTGCCCAGGAAATGAAGATGAGTTGTTTTTGTGACAAAAAGAGATGAAACTGTGTTTCTGGAAAACATTTGTCTTTCACTAGCTTTATTATAACAAGGTATCTGCTGGGAGTTATTTAATTTAAAGCATAGAGAATTTTTGATCTGGAAAGGGAATGTTCTCCAGTCAGTTTTTAGTGAACTTTGGATCCATCATAGGAAGATAAATGCAGCAGGTTTGGAGAGCTTTCTCTGTTAGTTACTTTTGGTTATACTGTGATGCTGTGCTTTACTTTCTAATCTGTAAAATAATGGGGTTGTGAGATAAATTCACTAAAAGATTGTGGAAAAGTAACAAGTTAATGATGATACTGGCTATGTAGGTATCTGTGATGGGTCGGGAAGTTAAGGATGGTGAATAAAATCAGTATGGCAATGGCAACCCAAGTTATTCATGAAGCTTTGCACATCATATATTTCCAAAAGAAACCTTTTCTAGTAGGTCTACTAGTGTCCATTTCCCTTGAGGATTAGCCCTCCATGCTTAAATCCCAGGTAAAGGACAAACCAATCTGCTTGATTTCTCTTACATTGACATTTACTATCATTTTTCATTTATGAACAACGAATAATAATAGCATTTGGTTCTGATACAGATGGTCTGCATTTCAGATAGTGTCTATCTGCTCCTCAGGAGCAGACTAACCCTTCATGAATCCTTTGTTAGGTAAAGAATGAAGTCATGGCCCTACCAGGCCATCAGAATCCTGCTGCTGATTTCAGGGCTGCTGGCATTTGTACTAAATGTTTAGCTTTCTGTCCCAGACCAATATTATCAGCTGATAAGAACAGTGTTATAGAAATGACGGCAATAGAATTAATCAGATATGAAAATAAGTGATTTCCATATAATTTTTCCCGTCTGTAGAATTGCTTAATAATTTATAGTAGATGACATTCAGGTATTTTACAATGGTATTTCTAATACAATCACATAATCAACATTTTATTCCTTATGGAAAAGACTCATAAAATGTAATTGAAATTAACCCTGTAGAGTTCTGTAAGAATGGAACTAAAAAACCTACAACTGTTAATAGCACATCATCACTCATTCCAAATCCTTAAAGGATGCCTTACATCTTATAGAAAAGTCCTGGTTTATTTTCAAGGTTTTTGATTCAATTAAATTGGAGGCTTCCATGAAGAATAGTTATTGCTATTACAGTCCCATGAGCTCTGCTCACAACCCAGAACAAAAGTTTAAAATCAAAGAAAATCATCTTGTCAAAATAGCAATGATAAACTTAACAGAAGCTGAACTCCAGTGGCTTTGCTGTGTCTTGGCATTCATTATGATATTGTCTGAACTTAGAGAGATATTTCTGTGCTTGTAATTAGCTTTCTTATCACTTATTCCCTACATAATTAACACAACAGCGTTGTCAGATGGACTCAGTCAGACAAGGAGCTTGTCGGTTAATTTGCTTGGTATAAATGAATCTCAGCTAAAATAGTTTTCATTTTCAATTTATAGCACTGTGACTGACACTATGTTTTTCAGAAGCCCTCAGCATTCCTTCAGATAAAAAAAAAATGGACCCTACTGACAATAAAGGCTGAAAACAAACCTATGGTTGTACAAACACCCAGCAGTAGGTACTCAGCCTTAAGTACATATAGATATCTCAATTGATCAATACTAGTTCAACTGCCATCTAAGGGAACAGCCTCAGGGTGGAGTAATCAAAGGTTAGTGTTGGTTATTAGTTTAAGCTACAGAAATGTGTTGATTAAAATTGTTGATTAAAAATGCCTCTGTAACAGCAAACTACTTCAAAGATTAGTTAATTGGTCAAATTTTGACTCCATCCTGGCAAATCTTGCCACCAACACATCATGCCCATTGACAAATTGAAAATAAATCTACTTCTGCAGATCTTGCCTCATCTTTTTCTTCCAGTAAAATGCATGTTGTGGTACTGGAGAAGACCATGGCAATGGGTCAACCTCATTCCAATCTATCAAACTCAAAAATTACCTTGATAGGTTATATGCCTTATTCTCATTTGATCCCTGTCAGCTGTAGGTTTGCAGGTTGCTTGGAGGTTTCGGGGATATTCCACCACACATGAGCCTGCATTCTTAGCTACCTCAATATCTAAGAAAATCTGTTCCCATGAGCTCAGCAAATGTTTGCCTGATGGACTAGCAGAGACTGTAAGCCAAGAGCAATATGTAGAAGGGAACAGCACTGAGCCATGAAGAAATGCAAAGTACTCCATGTACAAGAGCCAACACAGCTGCTGGAACCATAAGGTGCCGTTCAGTTTAAGATCATTGTGTTATGATATCATTTGAATGACTTTTTTTTCTTCTGTCTGTGCACTTGGCTGAGGATGGAGAGGGAAAGGAGATGAATTCAGAAAGGGAAAAATATCAGGAACTATCTGGGCTTTGGCAGCTTTTTTTTTAATATTATTTTTATTTGACCTCTCTTTTTGTGCATTAATCCTATCTGTAAACATTTTTCTCACTGAATCACCCATGGAAGAAAAATAAACCCCTTGTTAGAAAAATGGTTGGATGTTTTATTTAGTGCAAATGGTAAGTAAAACTCCATATAGGGCCCTTGATTAAGCATGATATTCCACCAGATTAAACTAGGAAAGCATACACTGTTTAAAAGAGCAAGAGGATTTTCTAAGTGACATTGTCAGTGTTTCCAAGTTAAAAAAATAACTTTAGAAAGAGAATAATACATAATCATAAGAATGTTTTTTTTCTTCTTTATTAAGACAGACAATAACTGTAAGGCAGAAAAGAGAAACATTTACTGAATAATTAATATGCAGGTGAGTTTCTTACAGAAAATTGATAAAATTATTCTAGGTAAGGCCATTTCTGCTACAAAAAAAAAAAAAAAAAAAAAAAAAAACCAACAAGCAAGCAAACAAACAAACAAACAAACAAAACTTTAAATAGAATATTATGCTCCTGGAATTTAAAAAAAAATCTGCTCACAGGTATTTCACCCATAAATCTTCATGGACTATAGGACTATAGTTCAGGTTAAGACTAGTCAGATGTTTTTTGGTGTCAAATACCCGAGTGATATCATCATATATTTTATTTTACAAAGAAATATATGGCTAAGTTTGTTGAGCTTATAGGCTCTGCCCTCTTTAGTTATTTGAGGCTTATAATTTCACCTAGAATTCATTGTAATGAAAGTGCAGGAAAAAGTAATCACATTGATTTGATGCCAATATGTAAAACTCACCCAAATCCTCAGTACTTAGCTGTAACGTGATTTTACAGGAATCATCGTGCCCAGAACAGGTAATGGGCACAGTGCTCAGAATGGTCAAAACGTGTTCCTTGCCATCTTCTGCAATTTGTAACGATTCTGGTAAAAACTGGAAATAAAATAATACCTTTTACATCATTTTGATAGATTAATAAGGCAATACTGATATTTCTGACATTTTGAGTGTTTTTAATTGATTATGAATCAATATAACTGCTTGTAAAATAATAATAATCTTTATAATAATAATTTCATAGAAATTATCTGCAACTTTCCAAAGGTAATTTTTTGTTAAAATATTTTAATGCTCTTCATAATTAAAAAAAATATGTTTGCAGTTGTCATAGTGTCTAATTAATTCTCATCTCCTCATCTAAAAATAAGTTGTTATTAAGCTGGAAAATAGTATACCACCATAGAATTTGTTCATTTTTAATATCCCTTGTTCCCATTCCAATGCACTGAGAGAAATACCAGTAGTATTTATAACCTAAAGTACGGCATTACCTCATGATCATGGACTTTATATTTGTACTCTGCCCCAGGTGCAAAGCTAGTGCAATTTTCACCCGATTCCTCTTCCCTGCTATGGCAGGAAGAAAGATTTCTCTATACATAATATATTGCAGCTTCAGTGCACGGGGAAGAGGATCTGGGGCTGGGCGGTCTCTGCATGGCTGTTCTGCTGGGGCAAGAGCAGAAACAGCACCCAGGGGCAGTCAGAAATAGGAATTTCCATTCCCTGGGAAATTTGGACATTGCCAAAAAAAATGTAACTGTTTTTCCAATGTCACACAGAACAGGCTTCCAAGTTTTTCAAAGCCTATTCTTCTAGCCATGAAACTTAGATGCTTAGAAGATCTCAAATTATCCCGGATGACAGTCACATCCTTGGGTAGGATTAAACCCAGGCTTTACACTCAGTGTGACTTACCCTCAGCAACTTAATTTTTGTAGGGCCTGACCATAAGGAGGAGATGGATAAAAATTCATACCAGTTTTCATTTTGTTCTGGTTTAGTTAGAAAAAAAATTCTGCATCTTTGTAGGTGTGGCTGCCATTTATACATAACCACCAGAGTACTTTGGGGCGTATTTACTGGCAGATGTAGTTTCGCACATTCTTTATGCTGCATTAGTGTCAACACCTGCACACTCTGCTGATGGGTGCTTTAGGGCATTTTGCAAACAGACTGAAAGCCATATAATTTATTAAGACATTTTCACAAAGTGAGCATAAAAGCAGTGCTGGTTATGATGATCAAGGCCTATGTGTCTGTGCCTTGTTTGTCAGAGCGTGTCAGATAATATATAAATATTCCCCAAGGAGACGCTGGAGAAGTCAGGAAATCAGGCCCACTGGCATTACCTTAATCCCAGCGTAGAAACCTTTGCTCTCCTCAGGCAACGATTGCTGCTCAGGAGTGTCCCTTGCAAATGCAGTGACAGTGCAAAAGACCTGCAGTAAATAAACAGTGTAAACAGTGTGTGCTGTAGCTTTTCTTGAACAAAAACCAAATAATAATACATCTTCCTGTTTCTCTGCATTGCTGTGCTTTTTTTTTTTTTTTTTTGTTTGTTTGTTTTTCTTTTTTAAACCATTGAAACGTATGGGGGGAGAGGGGTTAGGTATTAAGAAAGTTTACGCACAAACCTCAAGATCTGAAAGAATTTTTGATGCATATAACAAGCAAAGAAACATGGCTTCTATCTAAACAATTACTAACACTGAATGCTTACAGTGCATTTCCTTTTTTATTCTTCCAAACAACTTGTAAGGGTTAGTAATATTAACTCATTTTAATTAGGGAGAATTACACCATTTATAGACATTGCTGTCAAGTTCAGGACATTGGCCCTTGGGATCCCAGACTTCAGAGTGCCTGATGGATTGAATACCATGTTTTTAAGTTGTTTTTTAATTTAAATTAGTTTGACAGTCATCCAGCCTCAGAAAAAGTGTCAGCAATATAAGAAGCTCCATTTTTCTTATTGCATTATAAAAGATGATGCAGATGTGCCTGAAAGGTTTATAGTATAAAAAAAAATATAATAAAAAAAATACCCCCAAACAAAAAAAAACACCAGACATAATGTACCATGCCATTTATGTTTTATTCCTAGCACAGTCACGCAACCTTTATCTCTGCTGAGCCCGCACACCATCTGCCATCTTAATGTTTCATTGCTTTCACAAAACCCAAACTGCTAACATCATTTCTAGGATCATAAGATTAAACTACAGAATTTTTCCTTAAAGCAAACTACAGCCAGCTCTGAAACTGCAGCTCTCATTTTTTTGGGGGCCTTTTTCTCGGAAATGGAGTAACAGCTTGTGCCATAGTAAATCAATTCCAATCGGTCAGATGGCATATTTATAGCTGCTGCCTTTTTGAAGCCTCAAGTGACCCATGAAGAGGAAGCAGACCGATCTGATTTACTTTTCGTGGTGAGGAGCTTCTCCAGACAGATTCTATGGCTCCCAGTGTCTCTCACTGGCCGGCTCAAGTACTACTCTCATTGCCAGTGCCAGCAAAACCAGCTCAAAGAAACAGGGTATTTTTAGATTCATGTGGTCCTGTAGACATGAGCTGCCTACTGCTCTGGAGTATTTCCTTCACGACCCAAAAAAGCCCTGTTCATTACCACCTTATGGTTTTCCAAGCTGGAGGAAAAGCAACATGGGCCTCAGAGATCTCTCAAGGTTAAAATCCCTCAGAAACATTGTTAGCTAATTTGCCTCCAAAGGAGAGAAATTTGTGTTCTCCAGGTAATGATAAAAAATATAAAATAGTAAGAAAAATAATAAAAACAAATCCCATACAGAGCTCAGTAAGCAAATCCACTGCACCTGCACTGCAGATATTATATTTATGCTTGGTGGGCTGTTTGCACTTTTCTGCTTCAATGATTTTTACCCAAATCATTCAGACGGAGCAGCAGGGCTGCTCACAAGGATGTGTCCCATCTCCCAGGGATCTGCCCCAAAATAACACCCTGAAGCACATGGGGACCCAGCTCCATTCCCTGCACACACTGTGTTTTCTCCTGTTGTAGAAAAGAGGCATATTTTATTGATAACACCAAAATGGAAAATTACTCTGTAAAGACATGCTGAGAAGATTTTCAGTCCATTACAGTTCTACCTCCAGCATGTATGGAGATTAGCACAAGCTTTCCCAAGTCTCGGTGTACAGGCACCCGTCACAAGTTACATTTCACTCCTGTCTTTCCTATCGCTCCTCTCCTTGTAGTGCCTTTACCTTGTTAGGTGCACACTTCGCTTCACAACCAGCCGACGTGTTCATCGGCTACCGAGCTACAGGTTGACAGTTTGTCACATCATTATTATCATAGTCACTGCAAGGAGATATTTATTTATTTATTTATTTGCCTTCAACTAAATACTTGCTCTTTTTCTCTAGTTCAGTAGTCAACAATTCTTTCTCTTCTTTCCCTCCCCCTTCTACAGATGCTGCCTTTTTAAAGCAAAGAGATAAAAGCAATACTGACAGCAGTGTGCTGTCAGTTATTTGCAGAAATGTCTCCTTTCCTGTGTTTTGGAGCAGGTTTATGCCTTTAAGTGGACTCTATCAGATTTCTTCCCACTTCACTGTGAACCCAGGGAGCAGCACATTGAGTGAAAAGCAGAATTCAGTCATTGATTTGGTGGAGGTCGGGCAACATAGGAAGTGATTTGGGAGAGTATTTTAATTCTGGAACATGTCACCATCTTTGGCAAATTCTCCCCAAATGACTTGCACATCAAAATACTTTTTTGAGAGTTCCCAGAGACTAAATCTGTCGTGTCCGTCCCCCTCTCCCCCCCCCCCCCCCCAAATGCATTATTTGTACTCATTTTCAAACAGAAAAGAAAAAAGAAAACCCTCCAGTTTCACTGTTTTCCACACCCCTAATTACTTCTGAATGCAGCATGGAGATCATTTGCGATAGCTTGAGCATGTGGTGAGAGACACGGGAATGAGGGCAGGGACAGAAAAGCTCAAATAAAGCTGCATTCATGCATGTTTCCACCTTCAAAGGCAGCAAGCAGGGGGGGCAGGGGGGGGCATTTCCCAGCACATCCAGAAGCATACCCTTCATCTGCATCATCCATCAGAACTGCTTACCTACCTCACCTAAAGACACACCAGGGAAAATAAACAATGTTCATGGCAGCTCCTGGCTGCAGTTCTGCCTCCTACCCTTCTGCAGCTTGTGCCCCAGGAATTGGGACACCCCTTGGGAAGGGCAGGACATGCATCTGGTGCATAAGGTAGCACTTTGGGATGCCTGCTCTTGCCTATTCGCTGGGCAGGGAAGTCTGTGTGCTTCCAGTAAGGTGCAGGAGCCTAACTGTGACTGATTCACTCTATTAACTCCAAGACTTGGAGCTGCCAGAAGGCAGGAAGGGGCTGCAAGGGTAAGAGTCACTTGGGCACACTGATGGCTTTCAGGTGAAGGGTTTGGCAGGGAATCAATCATGCTAGGTGAAAGGGTATCTTGTGACGGCTGGGAAGGCCTCCCCTGCTGTATCCTCCTCAATTAAACACTAATGGGCTGGGGTTAGAGAAGCCTGGAGGAGGGATCCTGCTGGGAAACGTGCGCAGGAGGAGTTGTGGTGCACAACCTGGGTGAGAAGAGCAAGGGAAGAGCAGAGCTGAAGGCAGGTGCTCCTAGGAAATCTGGAGAAGTGGGGAGTTTAGCTCCCAGAAATGACCTGGCTGTACTTATTTGCAGAAAGTTGAAGGAACAAAGTCTGTGGACGTGGTCTCCAAAAGGGTTAGTGGGAAGGGACAAGTAGGGAGAACCTAACATCGAGTTAATTAATAAAGTAGCCCTTAAGGCTTTTGGACACAAATTGTACCCTTAAGAGGGCTGTTGCTGTAGAAGGGAAGGAGAACAGTGAGACCTGACCCATGGGAGGTCCCGCTTGAGTCGTAGAGCTGTGGGCTATCCATAATCAGGCAGCTCTTTCCAGTGGGAAATGACCAAACAGTATGTGGAGGCTAACTGCAGATCCTTCATCTACTAAGGAAATAAATCTTCCCGGGGTAGGAGTGAGGCATCTTATCAGCTGCAGAGCTTTGCTCATCACTGTCTGCCCCTTTCTGCATTAAAAACTCATTTCGAGTCCACCTGGAGCTCTGTGTTCTGCAGGGATGCTCCTCATTCTCTGTCTGAAGTTTCAGAAAGAAATTTTAAACTTAGGTATAACCTACAAATAGGCATTTCTTTCTATTTCTGTTGTTTCCCATGTCAAGTCCAATGGCTGGGATAGAATTGATGTTTAAGCAGTAGGAAGTTTCACTCCTCTTCCCTTGAGAGTGAAAATTAGCTCTTTTATATATTGAAGCACTCATTTTCAGTCTTTTTGGCTGGGCTTATTCTTGTGGTGTTTCAGAGTGCCTCACAAAATGGCCACTTTTAGCAGGCAGCTTAGAAAGGCCAGTTTTACTTACACATTTTTATTTTACAATGTGCATCATAGTTTATGTATGGTGACAATTGCTCCTCACCATATGAACTTTGGGATTGCTGTGCAGAGCAAAATCTCCACGGTTTTCTTCTGAACACCTTTCTTAGCATAACTCATTACTCACAGTGTGCTGCTATAATTTATAGATGGCTGTGCCTCGAGGAATGAAATGACCTCTGTCACCATCGCATAAATAAGGCTTAGGAATGCCAGGATTTTCATATCAGATGGAGTAGGCTTCTTTCAGTGTTCATATAGAAATAGCAACATATTATAGATTTATTTAAGGCTGCAATAGTTTCACGAACATTATGCTGCCAACATTACTGTCTGAAATAACAAAATTGGAACCCAAAGATGTAGGAGAAAAGCACACATGATAGCTATTAAAAAATAACTGGCTGTTTAGTCAATATGAGTTCAGAAATGTTGGCCAGTAAATCTCTACTCTTCTCTAAGGTTTGACTGCATATTAGAATATATTGATAGGTATAATATTATGTGACTAACCTATTACTTGGGGACTTTCTGATGGATAAAAAAAATAGAGTAGATATCAATCACCTAAACAGTGATTAAAAGAAAATAAGTTTGCTTGGCTGTAGTGTTTTATCAAGAAATGAACAGAGAAGATGCCGATTTCAGGTGAGGTTTAAAAATAATACAGCTCCCAGTATTCACCTACAAAAATGTTGAAGTCACATTCGGACTATGCACAGGTAGGTGAAAGGCAGGTTAAATGAAAGTAGTTTGGTAAATGCTGCAACTTCTGCATCCTGGGGGAGCAATTCGTCCCTGAATCACACCCACACACCCGGTGGTGTGCAGCCACAGGAATGGAGATGGGGAAAGAGAGCTGGGACTCTCTCTTTCTTGTTCGTTGTCTACTCTCCAATATGCCTCTGTCACTACAGATCTGGTCTCCATTTAAAGCTGCTTGTGAAAAACTCCTTGCACTTGCATCTTGCTTGGGTCCAGGAGGTTGAGAAGTATGTCTGCACAGCTGAGTTTGGTCCTCAGGGTCTGCTTCCGCTTTTAATAGCAACCCCTTCCCTTTGTGTTAGTCCTGTTTATTGTCATGTTTATTGAGTTGCTTCAGGTTTACACCTCTGGGAGCGAAAGGAGTGTTCCCTGCTTTGTGACTGTTATCAGAAACCCAGATTGGGATGGCAAGCACAGTACTATGCTTTTTTAATCCTTATTCTGTAGAAATGAATTCCCAGCTACATCTGAGGCTTTGTAGCTTGGGTTTCACCAGTGATGATTTATGGATAATTATAATTAGTCAAATAGGCTGTGAAGACCTTTAAAAAAATCTAGCAAGGAAAAGAACATTTTAGTCTCACTAAACCTGTTAAATTAAACATGTGGGTTTCAGTAGAGGACAAAGAAAGGCTTACTGAAAACTTAATATAATAAAAATGGTCTTATAAAGATTTGGTGGTGTGACTAGTTAACAGAACTGTGTTTTCTCTGAATCCCTCAGGATTGTTAAATCTAGATTTGAAGTGATTACAAGTGAAATTATTTTGATGAAAATATCTCTTTGTAACACAAACTTGTCTTGAAAGCTGGCAGAATTGTCTGCTTCATGTTATGTTATAAATGAGGGCAGCATCAGTCAGATTCTGAACTCAGGAGGCATAATTATGAGGAGAAATGAGAAAAAAAATACTATCTAGATTGTGCTACTGTTATAGATGACTCATCTTTTCAAGAACTTGAAAAAGCTTATTCGTGTTTCTTAAATATCTCAAAGAGAAGCTGCAAAATGCCAAGACTATTTCCAACCTACTTTTAAAACAAGGCCATTATCCCTGTTTATTCTTTCAGTTCGTTGTAGCATCACTAATGGCTCTCTGCCTATAAAAGTTATGAACCTAATTTAACTTTAAAAGTCTTGTTTCTGTACCATGAAAGGCCATGAATTCATACACAAGTCAATTTTTTTCACATCTTGTATTGGCTTCTGTTTTGTTGTTGTTGTTGAAGCTAGATCTGTGTTGCTGTGTAAGCCATCAAATACACTTCTTAAAGATTGTTTTGTAATGAACTCTATCTTTCAGTATGCTATTGAACCAAGAATTTGGAATCAGAGAGGCAGAACACCATGAAAAGGACCATAAAATAAACCTCCCTCTATTTTAAAATGTACCATCTTTCTCTTCTGTGAAAAGATGTTATTGTATCTCTGGTCCATGAGTATAAAAATTACTGAGTGCATATAGCTGAATCTGCCTCTACTGCAAATTCTCACTGCTGCAAGGTACGAAACGTACTACTCAAAAGCTGGCTCAGGCACATGTACCTACTACTCATACCAACTTTATGGCACTGAAGCTGTAATGGAAGTGTAAATATTCAAGTTGCCTTTAGAAAATAGTAAAATGGACAGCTTCCAGGAACACTGTGCAATCCAAAGAAATGTTACAGGTCCTGAATCTGGTAAATGCTATTTAATCCTGTTTCAAAACAGGCCCCAGTTTCAGTATTTTTTTCTACATTAGATGTTAAGTGTAACAAGTGAGGAGCAGCACTAGGGAAAAAAATAAATAAAAGCCAACCAAACAAAAATAAAACCAGTGATTTCAGAAGGGATTTGACCCCCCTAGGGTCCTGACCACATGTTGCTCTGGGTGGGCTGGCATTACCGTGTCTCCCAGTCGGACATTTTCACCTCTCATCTCCAAGAAAGAAAAAGCCTGCGGGGTGGTGTCATGCCGGATCTGCTCTCGTGTACTGGGGGTGACCAGGCGTGACCAGACCACCGTGTACTGCATCAACGGCCTGGAGCCGGGGGGAGCCCAGGTGCATTTCAAATGGGCATGACCTTGCACGAGCTCGGGAGTTATCGCTGGCTGCAAAGTCAAGCTTGGGAGGTTTTCTGAAAGACAAAAAACAGAAGAAGGATGTAGCACAAAATGCTATTTTTAATGCTACAATCATTCTCTCAACGGGAAGATTTCAATATAACTAAACCTGGGAGAAATACCACATTTTCTGTTCTTGTGATTTGATTATTAACTATGTAAGCAAGGAATTATATTTCATATGAAGTGTGAAAATAGCTAATTTGGTACTGACTACCCATTGCTATAATATTAGACCTGGGATTTTTTATTTTGCAGTCAGAGAAATGTTATTGAAATGAAGTGCATGGATTAATACAAATTAATTACGCTGGCAAAGGCTGCCAGCTTTGCATTCCCCAGAAGCAAAGCCTTCTGATCTGAGTTCTGCAGTTAAGTATGGAAGAGATATGAGAATGAATGATGCTGCAGAGGTAAATGCAAATAGCACCCAGCCCATATCACCATGCTGTGAAAATCCTTCCCAGGCTGTGCTGGGACGTTCCTAGGATGACCCTGCTACATATAGTCCTGCTCTGCCCAGAATAATACCACTGCTCTAAAAATACAACCTGCTTTCTGTAGGCTTCAACAAGTAATGAAGTCCAAAACTTTTCTTCCTCTTAAATTCACTTGGAAAGGAGAAACAAAAAGATGTATAATACTGTAGGGCGATGTTCTTTCATCTCTAGAGACCCAGGCTCAAACAGAACAAGAAGCTGGTTCAGATGCTTTGAAAGGATATATTAAGAAACTTTTTTCAGGAGTGTAGAAAATATTATGGAAGCTCAAGAGAGTAAGGTCTGAGGCTATTCTGGCAGAATGAAGAACCAATATGTTAACATCTGTCCAGGGCAAATAACAAGAGGTAAGAAAAAGAAACAAGTTACTTAAAATATGAATAAGTGCTGGTTGTTTATATCCTTTACTCTTTTGTTTCTAGGGGAAGCTGCCTCAAACTATGACTCACATCAGGACTTTTTGCAGGAAATTCTTCCAGAAGGACAAAGTTTAGTGATCAGCTTGCAGGAGGACATGAGCAGAATTGCAAGCACGTACGCTGCTCGTCCCAGTGACATCCTTTCTGCCAAACTGTGAGGCATGCAATCTGTTTTGTTCTGAAGCTAGGAAGTGCCGACAGGTGTCGTGCTCCCCAGCCTCCCTGTGGATGGGATGGGGCCACAGGTCATCAAGTCCTACCAAGGGAGACCCTACGGTTCCTGCTGGACCCGTCCCTGAGGCTGCATAGAGGCTGCTGTGGTCCAGTGTTCACAGCTGGATTTCAGACAGTGAGTTAATATGCCCCAAGGAAAAAACAAAACAAAACAAACAAACAAAAAAACACCCCTCATCTTTAAGTGTTTTCCATCCAAAGAATAATACCGCTAAAACCTCCCAAAATCAAGAAGGTGAGGACTAAACAGAGGTGAACCTCGCTTAAATGCCTGGAAAAAAAAAAAAAAAAAAAAGGAGAAAGCTTCAACAGCACTAGTAAGTAAAAGGAAGAAGGTCATTGGTTTGGGATAGATGCGAATGGATAAACTTTCTTTTATGAAAAATACAAGTGGATTTACATTATTGAATAGGTATGGATCAACAGAAAGAACAAAATTAATCACCCAAAAGGTATTGGAAAAAAAATCCTTCAAACAAAGGTGGAAGAAAGCTGTAAATTAAGAAAGCCAAGCTTACTGAAAATGATGGTATTCAGATAAAAAATCCTTTCTGAGAAAGAATTGTGGAAATTAAAGAGCAGTTTCATTTACTTTCATGCATATTTCTTATTTCAAAATAATAAATTAATCCCACTTTCTTTGAGCCTTTTTTTCCTCTATCTTCTCTTCTTCATGTGGGAATGCTAAAATATTGATAAAGATAAGAAAATAGATCACTCTCTCTTTAGAATTTATTTAAACTTGAATTTTGTCTGATTGAAAGGTGATAACCCCAGTTTCTCAGTGTGTCACGTCTCTGTCCAAAAACGCTGAAAGGAAGGTATAAAGACAATTTCTTCCCTTTGAGAAAGAACTGTCTTTTCTGACTAAATCCATACGCACCTGAACATGCTCTGAAGTTCAGAAGGTTTAACAGAATGAGCAATTGCTTTCTGCTATTTCCTTTGTTTCCTAGCTACCAAACAGAGGTTAGATCTCTTGTAGTAGGCTGAAAATTATTTCTGATGAGAGTAATTATATAAATGTCATGGTAAAGATGTTATCAGATTTTTTTTTCCTTCCAGAGTTTCTGAATTATCTTTTTTTTTTTTTTTTTTTTTTTTTGGGGGGGGGGGGGTTGGGGGGAGATACTGGATTATTTAAGATAAGAACAAACCTTAGACACAGTATCCTGGATACAGCACCTCACTATAACTGAGATGCCTCCGCTCACTGGCTGTGCAACTTCAAGCCAAAGCAGAGCCAAAGACAGTATGAAAGGCTACATGTGAACTGTAACCAAACAAATTCTTCAGTAGTATACATCAGCTTTTATTGTGCACTGGTAATAATAGCTATTCCTCAGGAACACCTTGGAGAGCTGCTGATTTATTTTCTACATGGTCTGCATCTTACCGGGAGCGACGCTTGACTCGCAAGGTCACCAAGATGTGTATTGCAGTACCAGGACCTTTGAACATGAGGCGAGAGAGGCATATACAATCTTATTGATAAATACTTTACCCATCCTCACCTTCTGCACAGTAGCCCATGCATCCTTGAGTAGGCTGCAGGAGATAAACAAAGAACTCGCCACAGTTCCTGACGGCAACAGGTATCCGAAACAAGCAGCAGTCCTTGGTGCCCCCAAAAACCTGCCAGGTAGCACAGGCTGTCAGGTGCTTGATCTCACCAGGAGCTGGTAGGGATTCAGACCTCAGCGACAGCCACACCGGAGCTTGTGTCCCACATTTGTTCATCTGAGGATGCACACAAAAGAAACAGTTTGTGGCAAGTGCAGTAGGACTCCATGGAGAGCCACTGGAAGACAAGACTTTGATTGTAGGGAGCTTAGAGGGTCAGTGAAAGAGAGGTATGGGTGGAGATGAAAAATGTCTTGCTTGGTTTAGAGATGCTTATTTACAAAGATAAAGAAATACATACATATTAACAGATTATCCAAATCCATGGACTAGAGCCCCAATGCCACTGAGCACAGCAAATCCCCACAACAACCAGCTCATGTATGAGAAAGGGTTGGTTCTAAAACGGTTGGGACTATAGCATTTTGAGTCACAGCTGGGAGAGGTTCCACCAAATTTACCTTTCCCAACTTACAAAGGGATGTTCAGGCATCTCAGATCTAATTTGCCCTCTGTAGGTGCTAGGCTCTTTCCATGGACTAATGAGGCATGATTACCCAAAGCTGTCTTTAATTTAAGTACCTCAACAGGGAGATTAGGAAAAAAATCTGAACCTAATAAAATATTCATAGTCAGTCACAATGGTTACTTGTTACTCTGTGCTGTTACCTATCATTTGCCGATATGCAAAGCATAGTGATATTTAAGTTAAGGTTTGCAAATTAATACCAAACACTGGCGATAATCAACTCTCATATATCAGTTATATTCCGCAGAGAGTGTCTGCTGCTGCTGCTTTGCATTTCCTCAGCTAGCCACAGGGAACACTATTTCTAATAGTCCAGCTCCGGCAGCACACTCCCTCCAGGCGCGAACATTTGGCTATACATCACATAGGAAACAACAACAACAACAAATTCCCAATTGCCCAGGTTTGTAGCTTCACTTTTTACGATCAGAAGTTTCTTGTGACAGCAGCAGAAGCAGCTAAACCAAAGGATAAATCTGTTACGTCACACACCAGTGTTGTCCCGGTGCTTGAGTTTTATCCCCTTGAGTTTTACACCAGCTGGAAGCAAGTGTAGAGGATGGGGCATAGGGTCTGTGCACCCAATGGAAGTAAAGTATTTGAAGAAAATAAAGGATTATAGAGAGTCAATATAAAAATCTTATTTTCCCCCAGAAATGCAGAAAGGCAGAGCCTCTGTCAATAGGGACTCAGCACGGGATGCCCCAAAGGAATGACATGCAGACCTTTATCTGGTGAAGAAGTGAAGAAGATGAGCAAAAAAAAATATTTTTACTTGGAATTTTAGAGGAATCATTTAGTTTCCTCTATTTAAAAGATATGTTGCATGTAGGTCTTTAGGAGATTTGTTCTGTTGATTTATTTACAGCTTTCGGGGACACCAGTGCTTTCTGTGCAGGGAGAAAGGCAGATAATGGGTATTTCTAGTATCCTGCTGAACTCCTGACCTACAGAGTGGGATTTGATATGAAATAACGTGTTTCCAAAACACATTTAAGAGCATATACTTGTAAAGACACAGAAGAGTGGAGCAAGCATCACCCAGAGACATGCCATATGCAGAGAAAGAAAGAAGGGCACAGGGAGAAGGATGGTAACTGGAGATCAGCAGCCTGTATTTCATGCTTGCTTGTTGAAACACTTATACCCTGAATTTGGAAAACAATTTGGTAAGGCATCACAGCACAGTCTTCCCATCCCTCTGGTCATGGCCCCATGAAGCTAGTGGCTGTCCACATGCTCCGCACTCACCTGATGTGAGGATGGGGAGTGCTGATGCTGCTCCTCCTGTAGGAAGCATTCCCTGTGCTACTAGCACTGACTGCAAAGGGCCGTTGCCCCTATTTCCTGACATTTGGTTGCCAAAAAATTACCTTTTTGAGGAAATTTGATAATTTAACCCATGTAAATATAAACACTTGTCTCGTGGAATGTTTGCACCCATGTGAAAAAGAACTGAAAAAATCCTCTAGCAGTTTCTGTAGAGGACTTTTCACTATTTAAAACAAGGTGTCATGTGTTTTCATTTCTCTTTTGCCCTGTGTAAGTGGCTCCAACACGTGCTGGCTGCCCCAGCCAAGCAGGAGCAGTGGCTCAGTTTCCCTCTCTGCTGCCTGACCTTGAGCAAACCCATCACTGCTGGTGCGTCTTTGTGCCTTATCTCTAACACAGAGGTAAAAGAGGTGGCTGAGGTGGTAATAGTACTTCCTGGCCTTGCAGCATTACAGAAAAGACAAATTCATTAATGAGACTCTCATATATCTGCTGTGCTGTGGGCCACATAGATAAATAGACAGATGTGAGTGCATTCTGGCTGCAAAACGCGGTCTGTACCTAAAAGAGGGTCTGTATCCTCTTTTAACACACAAAGAGGAAAATAAACCACTGAAATAAGAAGGCAGTGATTTTCTCCCTCTTTGTATTTATCTTTGCCAGAAGTCTGTGAGCTGTTTCAGCGCTTGAGGAAGTATGGATTAGTCCCGCTGGCGGCAGCCCCCAGCATTGTATGCAAGCTCTCCGATAAACCCCTGCTGTGATCTGCAGCACTCTGGATTTGTTCTGGCAAATCTTGCACTGAAACCATTTGAGCAAAATCATTTATTATGTAATGTGTACAAATTACAAGCAGTGATGAACCCTTTTGACTGACTTTGTGACCAGGAAATGCAGACTGTGAGAAAACGGTTATTGTAACAAACTGTGATGCAGTATTATACAGTGGCCAAGGAAAAAAAATAGGTATAAATCAAGAAGCTGGGTTTTCCTAGCAGCTTTATGGGGCACACATGTTTATTTTCTGCTTTGAGCTACATCTTTTCCATTATATTCAGGCAAGTTGCACCACACTAGCCAAAAGGAACTGCTGTGTGAGGCCTCTTTGTGTTACAGAGAGGGGGAGGCAAGGACAATTGTATATTCAGGTATTTGACCAGCAGTACAGACAAGAACAGAAAAAGACTGAGAAAAAAATCAAAATATTCTAAGAGGAGATATTTCAAAGTGCCAAAATGTTCAGGTCCCAGCTGTGGCATAATTAGCATTAAATGTTGAAGCAGTCATTTGGGAGAGTAACTAGAAAATTGAATACAGAGGTAGCAAAAGATTGGCATTTAAGATATAGCATTTACCTGCAATAACTGTAGTCATTGCTGCTCTAAGAATAGCAAAAAGCTGTGGGAATCTTGTACTGTAATTCAGCAGCACTTCCAAAATGAAGAACAAGAGTTATACAGCTGCCTCCACACAAGAGCAAACTCTGAATGTCTCTTGCAGGCAGGATTTCTTTTATCGAGGATCCAGTGGTGGGAATCGAACCACAGATTTGCTGGGGTTATCCAGGCAATCTACATAATGTACAGCACATGGCAGCACTAGTGCTGTGGCATGGAAAATATCAGCATTTCTCACTTGAAATGGAGCTATGCAGCAGGAAGAAAAATAAGGTACAATAGCTACAACACTGGAAACCATCTGTGTGCCCAAAGTTTGTCCTTTTATTTCTGGGGGTATTGGTAGGTCTACCAATAAATAGCCCTACAAATTCTATCCCAGTTATATAGTTTTGAGGATGGTGAGCCTCAATGAATGCTCAATTAAAACTCCATATAATGGATAACATTATATGGATTGCTTCCTTTAACATGTTTGCACTTTGTCAACTTAATGGCAAGTTAGTGAAGTAAACTGTGTTGGTGTAAATCCTAAATCTAGCAAATTCAGTGCATCTGTGCAAGGTACTTGGTGACACAGCTTGCACAAAAGAGCTTTTCTATGACACACACACACACACACACACACACACACACACACACACTTTTTAGGTTGTTTCCAGGCTTTTTGAGTACTTTCATACTTTATTCAATAGTAGTTAAGTGGTGTTTGTGATCTTCAAAGCATTTTATAAGCCTTCCCTAATTAATCTTCACAACACCTTTATGTGGCAGGTAAACCTTCATTAAGTATTTGTGATTCATAATTAGGCACCAGCTAATCTTTTAAATAATTTGGTTCATAAAACCTAAACAAAAAAAATTAAACTTGTTCCAGTAACTATGGGATAGACCATTATTGTTTAATCCAATGATGTCTCCTTCCACTTAGCTGGGGTTTGGACAATCAACTAGTTTGATTGATTGAACACTCTAAGGTTCTTTATAATTGTACAAAGAAATCAAGCTGGATTGTTCTTGTCACTTGGGTATTGCACTGAAATTATGTTGTTAAAAATAAGTAGCACCATATGTGAGAAATGCATTGTTTCAGTTAAATGGAGATAGAAGGCTTTTTGGTATATTGTTGGTTGGCATTTAAAGCATTGTGATTTTGCATCTGTTATCTACTCAAAACTTTACTTTGTCTTAGTTTTTTTTTTTTTTTTTTGCATTTCTTCGGAGTAAGATAAAATAAATAAGATTTTTTTTTTAATTTAAATCTGGGGCTGAACTCCACAGAAATCAGTTTACGTCAGGAATATCTGTAGTGGCAATTAAACCAGTGCCTGTCTTGTGTTTCTTTTAAGTACATGCTTCTGAACAATAGAGACTGTAATTGTAATTTCTACAGAAGGCTTTTTGTATGTCTGAAAAACAAACAAGAAAAATAAAACCTCTTCATACCTACTATTATAATGTTGAAGTATTCTTGTATACATACGAGAAGGGGAATTGCAGATGAAAACATGAAATAATACCCTGGAAGTGTCACTTGCTTTTAAGTTCTTAAAAAAAAAAAAAAAAAAAAAAAAGAAAAGAAAAAAAGGTTTGGATTCAGAGCAAAATAAAAACTGAAACAAAATAAAAAAATAATAGCATGCAGTTGAGCATGCTATTTTGCAGTTGAGCATGAGTATTTTGATTGTGATTATAAAATGTTCTACAGCAGGTTAAGTGGAAGAGGAAGTTAAACCAAACATGGGAAAAGTAAATCTTCTCCAGGGACTACAAAATCAAGCATCATAGGCAGGTTAGATTTAAATTTGACAAGCTTGAGCATGACCTTGTTTGATACACCAAAGATTAGTGTCTGAGTCTATGTTAAAGCCTAGTCGATATGTATATAAAGGTAAATATATATTGTTAAAAATGCAGTTGTTGAGAAAACACAAGCCTTGATTACACAACACGTCCTTCCTTTGCCACATATACTGCTGTACATGAATTTATAGCACAGGCAAATTTAGAGATGATTTTGCTCATTTACAGAATTAAATTTCTGAAAGAGGATGCTTGAAGTAATCTTGGTATACAGTAGGGACAGGTATTGTTGGGCATTTTGAAAACATTGTCATCTGTAGTTCAGCTGTAGAAATTCTTGCTGCAGGATCATGGCTGTTAAAAAAAAAATACAGTGGCTGCACAGACTCATAGGAGAGAAATGTCTTTAAAGTCTTATCTGAGCTATGTCAGACTCCAAAATTTCCTGTACCAGGGGCAGCTGGAGGCTAGCAACCTGCAGAGCTGGAGCTATCATCCTTCCCTCCCACCCTTCCCTCCAGACAAGTGCATCTAGCAGCCAGGATGAGAACCGGGTGCACCTCTGGTCCAGAGTATGAGGATGCTCAGAGGCTCCAGTGCAGGCCAGCTCCTGCCATGCATACCAGCATGTCTGCAGGAAATAAATTGAGCCAAGGTGAAGAGCTGTCTTCAGAGTGAGAGGAAACCAGGAGTTAAGCAGTGGCTGATCTGAGGGTTTGAATCTGAGCTGACAGGATGCGGTGCAGTGCACATACATACCTATATGAGTGTGGGCATGTGTATACTTGTAAGGGTACGCACCTGGTATGTGCCCATCAGGCCAGGTAACATGCATATGTCTACATGCAAATGCTGAACCATACACATGGTCTACCTGCAGCCTAACCTTGGCAGTGAGTGCACAGTGATTGCTGTGGTCAGCAGGGTAAAAATCTGTTCTTCTCTCCCTGCTTACAGAATACAGCCCCACCAGTCCTCCATTCCAGAGGACAAGTGCATGGTAGTAACAATTGTTCTAGTAGATAGCCTGGGTTTAATCCCTTTCTTTTTAGCTTATCATTTGTTATTTGCAATTGACTACCCAAAGCTGAAAATATTAGCATTGCTTTGAGAAATAAAGAATCTGACTCGTGCGTATGGTATCAAGAGTGTTATTGCTGGCTCCAGAACCAATTGCTATTTGCATAATCAAATTCTTAATTGATGTTTTTTCCTTAAGGTTGCAGTGTAATCTATGCTTTTTTCCCCTTTTGTAAACAAGAAGAAGGAATGAAGCAGCATGTTTCCAGAGATATTTCTGGCTTCACCATGAGTTGTGAGGCAGCCTTGGAAGGCCTGCCTGTCATTAGCATGGCATTTGGATTTGCATTACGGTTAGCAGCAAGCACTGCTCTTCTGTTATGCACAGATTGATCTGTTATCTGACTGTAGTGCAGATCTTCAATAACACTAGCAGGTTGTGTTCTCTCTCCTTGCTTTTCAGTATTCATTCCTTTCCTGGGGCTTGCCCATATGTGGATGTAAGTCTACAGATGTATGTGCACACCCTATATTATTTTAATTCAGAAACCTGTTTTTGTAACTGATGTCTGTTTCTCCCCTATTGACAGGTAAATACATCTCTATTTTTTAATAGATTTTCTGCAGAGCTTTAATTTTTATGTCACTTTTTCTCTTCCTCTGAAGGTCGTTTTGCTACTAGGTCTGGCTATGTTAGTGCATTGCATCTTGCTCTGAGTTTTAGCCCTTAATCTCACTAAAGGTTTGCCTACCCTTTCTTCCTTTAGTGTATTTTTTTCCCTTTCACAGTGAATTTGGCAGTTCTGGAAGAACAAGCTGTCTGTGATCTGTAGGCAGCAGTTTTGATACCTGGGGATACAAAATTTGCAAGTTTGTGTTGCTTTCCACTACAATTTTTTGTTGGATTGGGAAGAAGCTGTAGCCAAAAGCACATGCCCAGGACCCAGTAATTGCTCTGCCTCCTCTGGGAGCACAGGGAGAAAGGCGAGGAAGAAATCAAGGGAGGAAGGTCAGGATCATTTGCTAACCACCAGGGAAATTCAGCAGGCAATACCTAAATTGGAAAGCTGTTTCAATCAAAAGTATTTTGCCACTTGAGAAAAAAGTTTATGGACAGCAGTTGGATTCAAGGGATGGAGAATTCAGGAATACAATTCACTTTTTCACTTTCTGACAAACAAAACAAAACAAACAAAAAACTTTTTGTGTGTGTGTGTGTGTTCTGCCTTTTCCCTTTGTCTTTTATTAGTTTGATTAATTAGTGGGTGAGAACCAGCTTCTTAAGAGTTGTTGTTATTTGTTTTTTTCTTGCAAATGTTGCTGTGCCTCTTTTTGATGTAGCTGTAGACAAGCTCTCAGCTTCTGTTTGTGACTTGGTTCTGTTTTCTGTTGAACACATTGCTATGCAACAATACTCAGACAGGGCTTTTTTATTGTTATTATTTATTGTGGAGCTTCTTTGTGGTAAGATTCAGATTATGTGGCAGTGCCTTCCCAAATGTCTGTCTATCATGAGCTGTTTCTCCTGCCACAACTTTCTCTGGGCAAGACCTCTAAATCTCTGTTATGGTTTAAATCCCCTTGAGCTCAGTTGGGTGACAAGAATCCTTACCTACCATTACTTTGAATTAAGAAGTTAATCTTATCCACTGATAAGCAGCTAATTGCATCCAGCCAGTATCAACAGGATATCACCAGGCAGATATTTTACAAGATTTTGGAGTAATGTACTTTTTAACTCCCCAGCTGTATTGTCAGGCTTTATTTGGTCTCTTTTCTCTTCTATCTGCTCAGGATTTTGTCTTTGACTTGTTTAATTAAAATCAGCTCACTTCAGCCAGAGACTGGAATGTCCAATAATAACTGCTTATTAGGGAGTGGAAGCTGTGCAGTTATTAATTTAAATTATTTTGTTCCAGAGGTTTTGCTCAAATTAAATGGAAAACCAAATTAAACAATGATTTAATTAAGTGGAAGAGATGGAACGTAGAGGCAGATTTAGAAGGTGAAGATCTGAAAGAAGTGTATTCTTCCAGTCCTGACATCTAACAGATGTAATCCTTCAGCAGCATGGTGAAACAGAGATTTACTGTCATTCAGAGGATAATGAAGAAACCAATGGCAAGAATTATGTTACAAGATAAGGAACTAAACTAATGAATATAACTCTACAAACCTGAATAAAAAACTCCATAGAACAGATTTGAAGAAACAAAGCATGTATTGTTTGGTGGAAATCTCAGACAGTCGAGTAGTACTACATACTTGAAAATGCTGAAATGCAATGACAAATTAAAATTTGTAGACTATATACACACTCATATAGCAATCTGTAAAAATAAACCACATAATGCATTGGGATATTCATTCAAGGATGACCTGCCATGAAATGAATATTTCAATAATAATCATGCCAATTTGTTCACATTAATTAGATTTATGGATTGTGTATGCAGAGAGTTAGAAATCCCACACAAGTGACAATTATCTCTTAACATTTCATTTAACTTTAGATTATGAAGATATACTTCTGTTGTGACAAGTTCCCAGTTCCTTTTTGTATGGATACATGTTGTTTGCTAATTTCATGAAGGTTCTCCAGAAGGTTAGCATCACCTAATATTAAGGATCCTGACACTCTAGTTTGAATACTTCATCTTTAAAGTAATTTACAGCAATTGATTTATTATTTTCTGAATAATTTTGTTGAATACTTTGCTTGAAATTATTCTTATCTCATGTGCTGGGTTATTCAAAGCGGCAACACTTTACTTAGAGTCTCAGGTTGCTGTAGAAGCAACGATTGTCAGTTAAAAATTACTGCCATACATATTAAACACACATGAAGGAACTTTTTTGCTCTATAAAGTATCTAACAATCTTATGAAACTAAATAATACAAAAATAAAAACAAACAACTCAGTATCAGTAAAGGACTCAGATTTAGCTTTTCCTTCTGTAACACTAAAGAGCTTCTTATCATGTTGACTTTTCTGATTTTTTCCCTTCTGATTTCATAATGAGAAGATATTTATAACAATTTATATGGCAAAAGAGTCAGCTTCCAGAATCTGTTCCTGAAACACCAGAATTGGTTGAAAAAGTATAATTTACAGTGACATAAATAGGTTAACAATTATATCTCTTTACAGTTTGAAAACACCTTGCTTTGTATTTGATTACTACCCATCCACCGGGATCCTGGCCTCTGACTACGACCCTTGGATATAAAAGTATTGTTATTATTATGGGAAAAATTTCCCATTACTTCTCACCCAGTCCCATTGCACTCTACTGGTTATGAGGGTATAGAGGTGACTGGAAAGGAAAATCACATTACAGGATTTATTCACATTCACTAGGGTTATTACATAGTTTTTACTGACTTCGACACATCTTGTTGGCATTTCTGCAGGCCTCTTGTTGATCATGAACCGGTACCATGCCGGTGGCAGCGAGTGGTCACACACCATGTCCTGAGCAGCTGTTCGCTGCAGCTCCAATGAGTCGTACCTGGTGCTGCGGTAGGGATTGCGCAGGATGCGGTGTCCTGCTGGGGAGCACTCAGGAGCTGAAAAGTGAGAAAAGACAAGGATTAAAGAAGCTGGTTCAGTGGAATTCTGGTAATAAACACTCAAAGATGGGTGCGCCTGCTTATATGTTCAGTTTCAGTTTAGCAGTGGGTTAAATTTCAAGGCAGACACTGGGAAAAGATGAAATTTAGAATTTAAACATAGAAAATTTAAAGCAAGGTAGTATTTAGTTATCTAGATTTTCATCAAATCTGAACCAGAACCAGAAACCATAACTCTGTAAATGTGATCTGGATCTATTTCTAGAGATTAGTATCTGAATTTCTTCTGCTCAAAAATCAAGTAATATTTTGAGGTTCTAAAGTCTTGTGATCTTTAAAAATAAGTTTGTTTCTATGTTTTTATTTACTATCTGCATGAGTATTTTAGTCATGATATTATTTGATGCTCAAGAATAAAGTGCACCTCACATACTTTTAAATACATACTTATAAAAATAATGAAAACGAATTCTAAAAAGAGAGAAGCCAAAATTACCACATGTTTTTTAGAGATAAATTCAAGTTAGGCTTGCAGCTATTGGAACCACAGGTCAGCTATACCTTGCCTGAAGCAGGTACCCATAAAGCTGGACACACGAGAGCTCCTGTGTGTGGATCACACACAAAGTTTGAATCTGAACTGCTGCCCAGCTGTCCTTGTTTGTTTACATGCCTGCCTTTTTTATTTCCATGTGTGTGTTGTTTCTTTGCAGAATATTCAGTATTTTCTTATCACCTAATAAGAGGAAGCCTTCAGTGATTCTTTTAGAAGTTGTTTATTAACAGAAAGCTTATCATGAAGGGAGAAAAAAAGACCTTTTCTTGGTTAACTTTTGCTTCCATTTGCTTCCATTTAACTTTTGCTTAACCATTTGCTCCCTTTCTGCAAAATGGGACACAGGAGGAGGATGAGGTGGAGTTGGGCTGCTCTGCACATCAGCAACAGAAGTTTCAGCTCATTTCTTGCTGCAGTAATTTGTAATTGTTAATGGTGATGGAGCAGGCAGAGAACACATCACAGGAACCACACGACCTGGTTTGGGGAGCAGGCCTGGCAGTTAGCAAAATTACCCCTTTGCACTGTAAATAGAGCATATTTATGTGACACCATTGACAGAGAATGAGACCCCCTCCCCATAATCTCATTTTTCAAATGTCACTTTTTGGATAATAACTCTGCTTTAATGTTACACCAGTGGCACTTTGAAACAGATTTATCATTTTTATTTTATTGACAAGATACTCAGAAGGTCAAAGTCAATCCATTTATAGCACTATTTTTAAAGATTATTTTTATTGTGCCAAAGGCAAGGCAATGGTATACAAGACAAATGGGGACAAAATGTAGCGTAACAGAGCCTTCATTGCAAATTTCACAGAATTTAACTGTCAAAACTACAATGAAATTCCAGTGCAAAATTCCGTTGAATTAATACAATCACCTTTTCAAATAAAAAAGCAGTACTAAAAGCTTTTCTTCTCTGCAGTTAAGAGACATTTTACAGAGGAAACTCTAGGAAATATTGGACCAATTAAATCTGGGATCTGATCCCCTCTGTTAGATGTCCTTTTTGGGCATCTGTGCCAAGCACTAGAGACCACTTGGAGACCTCTGCCAAGTTCCAACCCAAGGGACTAAGTGACATTTCAGCAGACTGACTATTTCACTCAAATGAAAAGTTTTCCCTATATTTAAAAACTGTTAAAAAATGCAGGTCCTCACAGACCTATTCAATGTCACTCAGAGCTTCAGGTGTGTTTGAGGGAACAGGGCTTCAGCTCATGGTGATATCTGCTTGCTCTAAGTTCCTCGATTCTGAACAAGAGACAAAAGCATCTAAAAGTAAATGGGATTTAAATATGGCTCTGTATACAGTATTGGCACAGGGATCCTGTGAGACCCTTGTGATATAATTAATAACATTCAGTTTCTCCATAACAATAGTATCAAATAATTCATTTAAATGTAATTAATAACCTTCTGCTCGATGTGTATTAGTAATAATCCAAATTCACACAGTATTCTGTGGTCTTACCAATGATTAAGTACTCTGTCTAAACAATGCAAATATATTAGACATTGAGACATGGCTAATTATTTTTCATCCTTCCTATTGTTTTGTTTGCAGTAGTTTAGAAAATGCTGCCTTGCATGTTAACATTGGAGCTGTTTAATGCGGTGGATGGGACATGCAAAGGGCATGAAGGGACTCATAGTAACAAGGGGAGGCAGGATATGTCAGTGAGGAGATGGGTGTTCACCCACTAACCAGCAGTATTTGGGACAACAGCCATGCAAACAAGTCCTGCAAGGCATGTTTGTGAAGCCCTGTGAGCAGGAGCAAGCTTGAACCAAAGCTCACCCAGGTTTTGCAGCAAGCCATCAGCAGCCCAACCCCTCAATTACCGAGCTCCTATTGTATAATGCTGATTATAGCCATATATCAGAACCAGGGTAAACTTTAACATGTAAATTGCAGGCCATGATACAAGTTAATTAGTACTGCCTTTCCCACAAGAAATAATAAAAGCAGTGCTGTAATTAAACTATATCATGAAAATGTTATTTGAAGATGATACAGTAGGGCCCTGCTGGTGGATCATGGGCAGCAGGATGCCCACCCATACCTCCTGGTGATTGCAGTTACACAACAACTAGAAGAAGGCCCCTGGTAATTTTTATTTCATGTAAAAATCAGGTAGATATGTCAGCTTTGTGTTCACTGATAAGAGCTCAATATCCCAAGTGTCCCTCCTGCTGTGGGGGTCACAGCCCCCCACAAATCCATGTCTTGTATGGAGTTGCTGTGTGCAGGATAAATTGCATTTAAAATGATATAATTATTTCTTTACATATGAGAAATCTGTACAGTTAGCTTGCTTTAGTCTCCTGCAAAGAGCTGCTTCTTGTGCCACCACCACCCTCCGTGTGGGCCAGCAGCTGTTGCTCAGACATCCAGATTTGCTCGCTTCACCAGACTCCAAGCACTTGGTTTAAACCCAGCAAATCTGCGGCAGCAACGTGCTGCAAAGAGGCACCAAATGGCTCCTTTCTGACACATTCAGAGCAAACAACACCAGTACCTGCTGCAGCTGCTAAGTGAAAACAGCAGTAGTGTATCTGTGGTGGAACGGTACAGCAAGTCTTGCGAGGGAAATCTGTCTGCCTTGAAGCCGTAAGGAAAGCTGCCATCAGTGCCACAGAGGTCAAGATCCACATGATGTGAACGTGGGGGAAGTTGTTATGTGTAAATGAAATATCAGAGGGCTGTGGGCTGGCCAGGGAGAGGAGAGCTGGCTGTGGAAGGCACAAACATCTGGAAATGTCACATGGAAAACGAGCAGAATGTGATTATCTGATGTGGCGTTTTGTGCATGACATGCTGCTGGGGAACTAGGGTTTGGCTGGCGGCTGAAGGAAGCGCTGATGTGTCCACGGCTGGGGGAAGACAGGCACGTGGGGAGACGCTTGGGGTGACAGCCCAGAAGCCCATCTGCGGGGGGTCACCCAACAGTACCCTCTTGGGCAGTGACACTGGTGGAACAAATGCTGCTGTGGGGACTCTCACTCAGGCAGCCACAATGGACACGTGTCCCTTCCATCTGATGCCCACGGTGGGGAGGGACACCAGGAATTGGAACAGCAGGCTGAAGACTTGAAAGGAAATCATTCACTAAACATTTGCTTTTATTCCTGAGGGAAGGCAAGAGCGGGTGTGACACAGCTCTGCCTGTCACTCTCGCTCCCAGCAAATATCAGTGGCTTACGCAGAGAAAGGTTTACGAAGCTCTGAGATTTTGTTTGTTTGCTTTGAATAGCAGCAGCAAATCAAATAATATCAATAGGTGATTGCAGCTCGAAAACCCTGAAAGAAATATAGTCCACAAGCCTGAGGTGCATGTTTGTCTTGGGTAAAGCGGTGCCAGGCACACAATATATTTAAAGGGCATCCTAAAGCTCCAGGAAATAGCTGGCAGAATGCAAAATAATTTTTGTGTGGAGGGTGAATGAAAGCCCAGTGATTGATCCAGATAATAGGAACCAACAGCAGGATTTGGTGATATGTTGTTGATTGCCCTGTGGCTGGGAAAGAGAAATTCCCAGCCCAGCCTGGCCCCAGGGATCCAAGTGGTTTCACACCCCACCAGGAAGAAGAGGGTCTGGGGAGCTTCTGAAGCGGGGCATCTGAAATGCACACACATATGTGTATGTAGGTATGCATGTATGTATATGAATGTGGAGATTTTTATATATATTTAAAATTATGGATAAAAATCCTCTTGTTTTTGACATTTGTATGATGTATGGTTATTTTGTGAAATCCCTCCCTGGCAGATGTTCAGATTTTCTGTTTTTTTTTTTTAAATTTATTATTATTATTATTCTAAAATCCATAGTGTAACGATATGTTATCTTGAGTGTTTGAATTTCTCCTCACAGGAAAATTATGACATATTTTCATTTTGAAAAGTTATTTCAAAATGCCTAGGGTATTAAGCTGTACCTCCAAATCTGTGGCAGATCAAGACTGTGTTGGCTTTCTTCTCTTCTTGTCTCAGAGACAGAAGGAAAACTTTTTGTCGTTGGCCACTTCCATGCCTGGTAGCTGTATTTCGCTGATGTAGCAGAGCTCAGGTGAAAGTTTCTGAAGTGCCGTCTGCTTCCCAATAGGATGATTTACCATATGTTGAAAGAGAGTTTGGACAGAAAAGGAAGGCAGATACTGGGAAAGGGAAATTCTTTCCAAGCTGCTAATGGATGTATTCAAAATAACAGGAGAAGGCTCTGATCTGATAACATCTAAAAGTTTCTTTTGATGGTTGCAAGCTACAGATGTACAATTAATATATAAGGCAGTTGTAGCTAAGAAACATCTGACAGTTTATTAGAGACAGAAATCATTGCCTTATTTCACTAATATTTGCTACCATTTTAATACCATTATTCTACATGGTGATGAGAGAAAATTTATTTCTAAAATTGTTCAGAGACAGGA